ATGAGCTAGTGCAAGATGTAGGAGATAGGTCGTACTCTCTTATCATCGATGAATCGACTGATGTTTCGGTATCGAAGCACATGGCACTATGTATTCGTTATTTCAGTACAAAGTTCGGCAAGATAACTACCAATTTTTTGGGCCTTATCACTGTCACGGATACCACATCAGAGTCACTGTATAAAGAGCTCATTAATTATTTAAATACCATTAAATTATCTCCTAAACAATTGTTTGCCATTGGAGTTGATGGTGCCAGCAACATGATCGGAAAAAATCGTTCATTATTCACGTTATTAAGAGATAATGTGCCACTTCCAAATTTAGTCCTAGCCAGATGCATTTGTCATTCTCTCCATTTATGTAGTTCTAAGGCTTCAGATGTTCTGCCATCGAGTTTAGAATATTTAGTGAGGGAATCGCGTAACTGGTTCACTAATAGCTCAAAAAGAATGGAGGATTATAAGAATTTATTTCAATTAATCAATTCCGATGACAAAAAAATGCTAGCATTGATACAATTATCTGATACTCGCTGGTTGGCATGGCAAGCTGCAGTAGTGCGTATTTTAGATCAATGGCTTGAACTAAAAACTCATTTTAAGATGATTGCAGCCAGAACTGAGAACAAGTGTTATTTGGCACGACAATTAGCATCGATGTACGACGACGAAGCAAATTATTTATATTTAATATTCTTAAAATCGATACTGCATGACGTCAATGAAACCAACATTTTATTTCAAAGTTCAGATAATGATTTTTATAAGCTGTATGAGAATTTGTGGATGCTTATTTTATCTGTCACCAGCCGCATTATCAAGCCTACTTTCGTAGAACAAGCAAAAAAACAACAAAATATCGAATTGCTTCAAGAAATTCTCAATAACGAATTAGCGCGAAGATCACCCAAAGAAGTAGATTATGGATTTGAATTCCAGCGCACTACTTCTTCTTGGAAGGGCAAGCCCGAAGATCTTTTTGATGTACAACACCGATGCACCGAATTTCTCATTATTTTATGTACTCAGCTCTTGAATCGAATGCCCAATAATTTTTCTATCTTGAAAAAGTGCGCACAATTTGCGCCACAAAAAATATTGAGCACCGCAAAACAGTCATCACTTGAAGATTTACCTATCAGTTTTCTTGATGAAGGAGCTGATATGGTAGCTATTGAAAATCAACTTCGGAAGATCGCCTTCATCAATTGGCATGAATATTTTTCTGAAGAAATCATGAATGATACCAATAAGTTCTGGGCTAATATCTTCAACTTCAAAGATGCAAGTGGCAATGTTCAATTCCTGCATCTAGCTAGGTTTGCCTTGAAAGTTTTATCGCTGCCGATCAGCAATGCAGTAGTAGAAAGGGTGTTTTCTGTGATGAACGCTGTCAAGACCAAAAACCGAAATAAAATGCAGCTTGACATGCTTTCGGCTCATTTAAGAATCAGGATTAATTTTCACAGTACTGGAACTTGTTGTTCATCGTTCGAGCCAACTCTGGCAATGTTTGAATTGTTTACTTCCAAAATATACGCTACAAAAAAAATGAATGCCAATGAAGCAACATCTACTCAAGAAACTGATGAATTAGCTGCATTTCAAGAAACAATGACGCTTTTCAGTGAATGTGATACGGACGTAGATCGTTGCATTTTGAAATTTTAATTATATTAATAAATGGCAATTGTTCTTAGTTCAGTTGATAAGTATTCAATACTCAATAAGTATATTTTATTCAGAAAACTTTGCTAATGTTCATAAAAATATGCCAGAGAAAGTCAATTTATTTTATTTAACAAACGGTGTATTTATTATGTAGGAGAAACATTATGAAAATATATGTAGCGCAAAATTAACAAGAATAGTGTCCAAATTTTATTCGGTTATTTTAGTTTTATTTGAAGAAAACATTTTTTTCAAATTCAAATCTATGTGCTCTTTTAGGCGATATTGGGCTATTTGAATTAGGGGCGCTGTAGGCGGTTTTGGGCTATTGGAGGTTGGGAAGTGGGGCTATCTATCGAGCACTGCATCTGGCAACCCTGTCAGTGCTACTCAGGCAGTTACCGAGAGTGGGCTGGCGGGCAGACACTCCAGCATTGCGTTTGACGCCCTCTCTCTCTTGGGGTGATGTACTACAATGCTGGTGGGGGCCTTCTAACCCCCAGAGCTGAGCCTCTACTTTAGTCACTCCTCTTTGGTTTGAGTAGTTTTATTCTGAATCATCGCGGTTTCAGCAAGTGGGAAAAGTGACAGATCTTGACAATTACGTCTCCAGTATTTGCCACGTAAAGTACAATTGTTTCCTGAAGTTGGAATAATTCTTATAACTTTGGATTATGTAAAAACAATCCAACAATGGCGCCTGTTCTCGTTCTGCTCCTCTCATTGATCACAAGAACCTACACTTCAGACATCACAGCAGCGGTATTCGGAAATGTTCTGGACGGGATGCCAGCGGCATTCGGAGATTTTGATTCAGACGAGCTAACTGACGTCTTCATCCTCCGAAATAATGCAACAACCCTGGAGATCCTCCTGGCGTCCGACCAGGAGCCCCTGCTGCGGCCGACGAACCTCAACTGCCCCTTCAAGAATCTCGTAACCAGTGTCGTTCCAGGGGACTACGACGGTGACGTCTTCATGGACATTCTAGTGACAACGTACAGTCGTGAGGACTCATTAACCCACGTTCACATAATTTGGGGAGGTCTTGGTCCCCTGCAATGCCCAACCGAGTCTTTACCCATCCTGAAAATGCAGGGGCAACCTCTGACTATGGACTACAACCAAGACATGATAATTGACCTTTTCGGTGCCAACGAGTTAAACAACCGCACCTTCTGGATTTTCAATCATAATCGAACGAAACCCGAGGCCATTCCCATGATTTCCAATCGGGCCATAGACTCTGAGCCCATACGTATGCCCCATTCCAATGCCTTTCTCGATCTTAACCACGATTACTATCCAGATCTAATGATAACAACCGCAAATCACTTCGAGATCTGGAACGGTGGCTCCAAGGGCTTCAGATACTCGAGAAAAGTCGACTGGCCAAAGCAGAAGGGGGAATCATCCACTGGACACGTTGGACAGGTTCTCTACCTGGACGTTGAGTTGAAGGGAAAACTAGATCTGATAGTCCCAGTCTGCTCAGACGAGAGTTGCAAAGAGAGTTCGATTTTTATTTACAATGGTGTTTGGCAGGACCTCAAGATAAATTTCAGAGACAAGCAGGGAGTCCTCTGGGGCTTCGTCCCCAGGTCGAATTACAGGCGCTATACAAATACTATCACCCTGCGTGGAGGAGACTTCAATATGGACGGCTATCCTGACCTTCTGGCTACCCTACAGTCTGAAAAATCGGAGATCAAGTCGTTTTTACTCCTGAATACACCCTGCAGCAACTGTGGAACGATTAACAGAACGTTTGAGATTCTCTGGACTGCCCTGAATCCTTTCTACAATGAAACCGTCATGGCTGTGTTCTATGATTTCTACCAGGACGGTATCCTCGACGTCATTCTCGTCAAGTATGATAAGACTAAGGATGTCTACACCACTGGGGCATTTAAAAATAGTCTTGATTATGATGCCAATTTTGTGAAGGTCATGGTATTGACGGGCCTCGAGAACACCAAGTATCCCATATCTCCGGGGAGTTTAGGTAAGAAAAAGAAAACTTATGGAACAAATTTACCAGGTCCTTCCATCGGGTACAACACCACTACTCAGGATGGCAGCCCCAGGAGTGCCCTTGCAGCGCAGTTGCCACAGAGCGCACATTTTTCTCTTAATTTGCCGTATACTACATTTGGATTGGGAAGAACTCCCAATTTTGTGGATCAACTCACTATTGGAGTGGCTGGAAATGTACGAGATTGGCCGCAAATAATTCCCAACTCCCAAATGGTTGTCATTCCAAATCCCATAAAAGAGCCATCAAGATGGAAGGCCCAGTTATTCGTAACCCCAAGTAAGTTAATTCTTCTCAGTGCTGCAGCCCTGACAGCAACATGTGGTTTAATATCAGCTATAATTGCTGGATTGTACTGGAAAGAGAGGCGTGAGGATAAAATCGAAAGGCTCCAAGAAGCACACAGATTTCACTTCGACGCCATGTAGATGCTCCATTGTGATTATAATTACTCAATATTTAATTGTTGAATAAAAAAGCGACTCCACTTGTACCAGTTCGTAAAATTGACAATTTTATTGATTAGTTCTGGACAATTGCATAGAAAACCAAACTTGTTTTCAATTTCTGAAATTTGATCTATCCACGTAGACGCGTATTATAAATAATTCAGAGGAGTCTCGTTATCGTTACATATATTATTTTTGGTTTCACTCTCTTAAGTACCTTGGTCGCCGCATCACACACAGGTGCGATAAGTTGAACTCTATCTGTGGAGGAATCTCGTTATTGGCATCGATCGGTTTTTATGGCAGGGTTCAAATCATTGAAGTAGGGATGTGCCATTGCTTCGTCCGCTGATAATCTCAGTGCTGGATTACAAACTAATAATCTCTGAAATAATATCATTATTCGTTTTTACAAATTACTCAAATTTCTCCTTTACTTGGGTAAAAATTTTAATTCACTCAAGCCGTAGATGAAAATTAATTCGGCATTGAGTAACAATATTATCGGGTCAATTTAAAATTATCCCATTGATCGAAATTATTTTTATGATTATGATGTTTAATATTGCCGAAATATTAACGATTGTGGCGTCGATAGAATAATACGCCTGTTATATATGCAGAATTGCGAAAAATTGTATTATATTATTTATTAGTCACGCAGTATCATATAAATACCCCGAAGGTTTGTCTATGTATCCTCTCAGATTTTCGTATGTGAATTGACGAATTTGTAAATAAACCTCCTATATTTCCCACTGTCCGGTCTTTCATTCGTCATTCTCACGAAATTTTCATCACAAAAATTTCAGGACATTTTTTTTTAATGGAAGAAAAGGGTTTGTTTACCTGGAGCAAGTCTTTTCCCCTAGTAGGAAGTTTAGGTGTAACTAAGGCTAAACCCTGTGTCGGATGATATTGTGGGAATGCTTTATAATCTGGATGGAGTGTCAAGTCGGGCCACGTTTCCTCTGTTGGTGTTCCCAACATTTTGAATATTCTTTTGAGTTGATCGTCCACATCGGACCCCGGGAAAAGTGGTCTGCCTGCATTTGCCAGTTCTGTCACAATAAATTATTTGAAATAATCAGTGATTTTTCAGGTGAACAATAATCTTGGTACTATGGCATTGGTATTGAATGCTCACCAGCAAAAATGCAACCTGCACTCCACATATCAATCGACGTTGTGTACAATTTAGCTCCAAATAGTACATCAGGTGGGCGATACCACAATGTGACAACCTCAGCTGAGTAACATTTAACTGGAATGCCAAAAGCCCTCGCCAGTCCAAAATCAGCGAGTTTCAACTCGCCATTTTTATTAATGAGCAAATTCTGGGGCTTGAGATCTCTATGTAATACATTTCGACTATGACAAAAAGCCAATCCACGTAATAACTGATATCTGCAAAACAACCCAATAAGAAAAAATACCTGTAGCTAAAATTTTTGCCACGATAATTATTTTACTACATTTTACTTGCTAAACCAGTCGTTAAGATTATCAAATACTTACAAGAAAGACGTAACCACATCTGAATCAATCTCTCCATTAAGACTATCAAAATACTTTTTCAGATCCTGATCACAGTGTTCAAAGACTAGAGTTAATTTTTTATCACTGTGGAGTACGTCATAGAGACGAACAATATTTTTGTGTTTTAATTCCTTGAGCAGACAAATTTCACGGAGAGCAGATGATGGAACGCCCTGGAAGCAAAAATCAATAACCATTAATCACCCGAATTATCGTTTTAAAAAACTGCTCCAAAATATATATAATGACATTTAACATTATTTGTAATTATCCATTTATGCCAAAATCTATAGATCGAGGGTAGAAACATTAAGTAATTTTTTAATCGCTAATTCAATGCACACGGCATTCTGCGAAATGAATGAGAAACTCTCAACGCCATAAAAAATTCGAAAAATATTAAATTGGATGTCAGTCCTCCCAGACGAGAAAAAAAAATCAATTATTCCAATCCAATTATACCTCATCGTCATCATCCAGTCTGACTCTTTTCAGAGCAACAATTTCGTGGGTCTCACGGTTTTTGGCTTTGAAAACAGTGCCATAAGTGCCTAAAACAATAATTTTTCGATGAAAAACAATATAAAAACTGGCGTCACTTGCTTGTATGCCATTATCTCTCTCACTAAATCACTGAACAAATCACTTCTCATTCATAACTCTCATCAAATAGTAACCGAAAGAACTCAAACTGCATTTACCTTCTCCTATTTTTTCCAGTTTTTCATACTTTTGCATATTTTCAGCAGTTCCACGGGCGGACTACGCACAATGGTTAGCGCTGTTGTACACGGCGGGAGGTACAATTACTTTGACAATTACTGCGCGCGCAGTGAATTACTCCGTTGTTTATACGCGTCAAATCAGTCAAAATTAAATTATCCCGATGTGATACTCTCCATATAAATAAATTACTGATAAATATATTGAACTATCTCAAAATGGAAATTTTGCTGAGGTTCTTCAATAACGTCATTCTGATGTTCATCAGTTTTTTAATAGCCATTTATTTCGGCCGACGTGTGCGTTTGAGAGATAAACAATTTATAGTGAAATTCAAATGAAATTACTCTTCATTAATCTGGCGATTTTGCAGTTTTTCCTGGCTATGACTCATCACTACAAGATTGTCGCTGAAATTATTGAGTTCAATTCGATCGTGAGATTCCTTTCACTTCACTAATGCGAATTCAGATGCGAAGCGTCAGATAATGATATTTCGGAATCTTGAGGTGCTATCGAAATTTTTGTCATTACCTTTTTCGTGGAGGTGATCGAGGGCTGCAAAAAAGGTTATTATACGAATTTCGGTATCTGCTTTAGATCCGGAGATTTTTGTAACGTTTTATTGCTTTGCGACTGAATTTTTACTGGGGAATGTGTTATTTATATAATTATTCTCAGGTGCGAGAGGCGAGAGACAGCTTGGATTATGTAACGACCCAGAGCCTTGCTCTTATGAAAGATGTAAATTTTATATTGTAATTATTCACTTAAACACTGATAAATTGAATATATCCGTTTAGATTGAAGGAGACATTGCAAAAGAGCTCCATATGACAAACGACTTAACGAGATTGAGTTCTAAAACGTCAATGCTGTTGAAAAGATATGGAGAAACCGAGGAACGAGTGCTGGAGGTGAAAACGTGAGATTTGATAAAATTTTTGGATTCATTTGATTTATTCGAATTTTAGCTGGTGAGGATGAACGAAAATATGGCGAATGTCCAGTTGGAAACCCCCGAAAACATAAAATCCGAGATGAAGAAATCAATAATGAAATTAAAGAGGAATAAACTCGAATCTTACACCAAAGATATGACTCCAAAATCAGATAATGTTCTCACCGAATAAATGAGACGGACTTTTTCAACTTGACGTCTTTATTCGGCGCACATTTTTTTACAATAAAACTTACAATTATTCAAAGACAGCGGATGGATAAAACAGGACATAAAATTACGACGGATTACAAGCAAATATCGATAGTACAGGTACATGATTACTTGCTCCATTTCTTTCCAACATCGAGAGTATTTTTTTTTAATGGACAATTGCGATATTAAATTTCAAAACTGCATTCTTCGATCATTATTATGCTCTTCATGTTCAATTGACATCTACAGTACTCGTAAATTGATGAGTGTAACAACGATTCAAAAATTATCCTTATTATATTCGAAAATCCAAGGTAAGTGGTAATTTTGAGTTTTTAGATAATTTTGAGACATTTCAACATGCATTGAATGGACTAAAGGATTCCATTAGACGAAGTCGTCGATCTTTTATAAAAGAATAAAAAATTTTTGACTCAAAGATTAATTGCCACCAACAGAAAAATAAAATGAAAAATCGAATTCCAATCAATTGAATTTTTTCCCATTTTCCCAATTAAACATTCCCAGCACGACGTCTCCCAATGAAGACAAACTTATTTATAAAAAATATGAAGTATTCTAGACTTAAAAATTAATCGCACACTCGCAACATTATATGTTGTAACAAAAAAAAAAATGGCAAGAATAATTAGATTGAAATTTCAATCTCTCGAATATCGTCCGATCATAATGAACCGAAGAAATACTGAAATCCGAGATCATTAAATCGTTGAGGTAAAATGTTAGCAGTCGTTAATTTTTTTTTTCACACATTGTAAATTGATCGTTGACTACAGGTGTCGAATAAACAATTAGTGCTGTCTTGAAGCTAAATAGGCATCGACGAATCGCCTTTTAACGAAACTGTCCCAGCCAGCGCGATCGATCTCGTCGAAATTTCGCTTGGAAAAGCTGTCGAAACCGGCACGATCAATCTCATCGATATTGCGCTTGATGGCCCCATTGTAGAGTTCCATTTGACTGAGATTGGATAGCTCTGGCTTTCTGCAAATATAAATTCAGTGGAAATTAGAGTAAAGGCGGTGTTTCTTTGAAGTTGTTGCATGACGCAGGTGTGATATTGATAGGACTTGCTGTGATATCTGATTCTTCCACAATTCATACTCGCTGAATAGTATCAAAACGGAACGAGTCCTGTTATTCGAGTACGTTCCCGAGTATTTGTGATTGCGTTTAATAACCCCATAGAAATCGTACGGTCTCGACACGTTTTCCTTCGAGTGTTTAGATTTCACCGACCGTTGTCTGCGCGTAATTGAATACGTGTGGCATCTCCACTGAAAATACGAGGGGACAGTCAATCGACGATTTTTTCTTTTCCTCAAGTCGGGAAGATAAATTGAATTTTTATGGGGACAAGCCGATTACTTTCATTATTATTTGTTTTATTCATTCCATCGAGAACGGAAAAATATAAAAAAGCAAGTTGAGAATTTTATAGATTGGAAATAAAATTTGATGATCCCTGGATTGGCTGAAGAAAGTTCTTCAGAATTATTCTGTAGGGCAATTCTCCGATTTTCTTGTTCTGGGGAACCTTCAGCAATTAATCCACGGTTTACGTAGGATGAATTTCTGTAAGAAGGTCGGAGTGATAGCTCTTGCATTTTCTCTTGGGAAGTGGCAGCTGCAACACTTTATTCATTGCTAAACGAATCCTCGAATCTATTGTACGGTGATAAACTCCGTTGAATTGGAGGATGTATTTTCTGAAGTCTGAGCTATAAAGCCTGCTGAGAAAAAAATTGTATGCACTCTCAAGAGGAAAAACCGATTAAGAAAATAAATCGGAAAGGAGAAAAAGCTCGGTTAATTTCCAGGTCAGATAAAATTGTAATAAAAAAAATTTATTCAGAACTGAATTTGATAAATAAAAGATTATCTGTGTATTTTCTTAATTATGTTGTAGTTCCCCTGTATTCCTGACTCGCCGGAATTTTTCTCGCATCTATAATTCAAAAAAGATGAGAAAAAGTCAGGAGAAAAATTGACGCTTGTCACGGATTGCCGTCCCAAGAGATTGAGGGAGGTTTCTTCATCGGTGTTATCGCGTTCAAGTCCTTGCCATGTTGACAGCCAAAAGTACTCTCGTCTACAACAACGAGCCACAGAGGACCGCCTTCCTTTATCCTCCAGTCTCTATTTTTTTCCTGATCCCTCCTCGAGCTATTCACTGGTGAGATTATCGTTACAGTGTCTACCCTTTTCTGGATACTCCCTTCTCATATTAACTGAAGTACCACCACAAACTTTCCATCTTAATTAAATAGAATTAAATTAGTTCCTCAACAATTACATCTCTGATCTCTTAGCCCGACGTCAGAAAATAGTTGCAGTCCTAGAGTAAACGGATAGATCCCGATGAGGCGGTTGAATTCAAACAGCCTCAGAATAACACCACACATCGATGTTAAATGCAAAATGAAACACCACCGAGACAGAGACTTCCCTCGCCAAGTTAGTCTCCCATTGTTGGTTACTCTCTCGTTGTCATGATTATCTCTCGGCATAAAGGTACTGTTGTATCGCTAGTGAGCTGAGCGCGAGATGAAACTCAAGCATGAGTTTCCATAGATTAAAGTAGCACGACAATTTATTATTCAACGGAGTTGTACCATTTATTTCGCACCGAGAGGTGCATAACGCAGGCGAATTACAAGAGTTCACTTGGTGTACGCGTTCGTGCATCTCAATCAGAGAATAAATGGTCGGGTTAAGGTGCCGGTTGTTGCGGGACAATATTCAGGGCTTTGTTTTTTTATATTAATTTTACCTTCGGGGATCGAATCTCTTGCTCTCGCCGAATGTTGCACCGGATAGTGAGTCCAACCCCTGGCGGCTCTGTCGGTTTATCCGGGAATCTCTCATTGGACTCTCACGTGCTCCACCTGAATTACAAATTTTTCCTCTTATTAATCCTGTAATTGGGTCATTAAGGGGTGAGGGAGAGGCGGGGAGTAATTAAAACACATTTTCTTTTTGTTTCGGTGATGAATTATTTTATTCAAGCTTTGCAGTGTTGAAAAATTTGTGAATCTTCTATTTTTGGGCTGAATAAAATTTCAACAATGAATAAATGTTTATATCTCTATTCAAAATCAATTTTTTTTTAGGATCAATCGATATTTATAATAAACCTGTCAAAAATTTGGTATGGGAAATTAGGGGGGCAGGGATCTCGGGATAAATAAATAAAAATAATTGAATAATTAAATCTGATTTTTCGAGATAATAATGACATGATAGCTGGTGAATGAGAGATGCCGCGAACACGCGTTTATTCTTTATTTATAATTCACTACAGGTTGTCGATTGAATTGCCTTCATATCACGAATTAATCCTAGACTCGTCACCTCGTCGTTTTTCATGAATATTCAATATAATTATAATCGATTATCATATTTTAATGAGAACTTTCGGATGCATTTACTTGCGCCGAGTGAATTTACCTGGCAGAACTTAATTAATTTAATTAATTTTTAATTGACAGCTCCGGGGGAAATTTAATATTTTTTCATTTTTAATATTTTCATATTTTAATTTGTCTCTCTGCAGGTCGCGGGGACTAGCCTAGGGTCCATTTAATTAATAAGAGATCATTTCCCCGTACGGTCCACGTGTCAAAATGGAATACGCAATTTTTGGTTTTGGATTTTCCGGAGTGATAGCCAATGAACGACGCAGAAGATTTCCACCCCCGATGTGATCCAGATTTCGTTGTTCAAGGGTTGGAATCTCCGATCTCTCGTTCCTACTCGCCCACTCTGAAAAAATAATTTTCTCCGCGAAAATTATTCGCGATTCTTTTCTGTTGAGTTATTCTTTGAAATGATTTATAACAATTCTAGTGGTATTTCAACTGGGAAATCATCACCGGTCTGACTTTTCGGGGATTTTTCCCTAGCTGATACTGCGCAGTAGAATTATTTTAAAATCTCTCGGCGGATGGCAGATTGAGTGGACGTCAAAGCTGGATATAAGCAACAATCATTTGAGTAATGTGAGTAGAGTCATACGGACGTACCTCATGACACATGGACGATAACAAAGCAACATTGTGGACAGGGGCCACCCCAATGAGCAGTCGTTGACAGACGAATCAATTCGGCATTTGAATGGCGTGTGTCGGAATGATTGAATTGCCCGAGGAAAAATTTATAATAAAATTCACCTTGACGTTGAGTAATCGCAGAGTGTATTGGTTAAACAAGAATTTTTATTCCGACCTTCAGTCAAAATAATTATTCCTAAGGAATTTCCCTCTCAAAAAAATCCAACCGTAACTATTTACATAAATCATTTTTTCTGCGATTTTCATTTTAAATTAATAAATTGTTGATGAGAATGATAAAAATATTGTAACAGTTAATTCCACTCATTACCAATGCCTCCGCGATTCAGACGATTATTTGCGGGTGAAAATTGCATGAGTGACGTAAATATTTGGGAATGGAAATTCTGTGGTCCCAAGAGATTCTGTTGTAGCTGAAATAAAATGGATAATTCCAGCAAATAGACCAAATAAACATTACGTCTGTCGGATATTAACGGTTATTCCCTGATTCTCTGAAAAAAATTCGGAAGATCGTGGGATATGTTGTGGTGAATCTGAAATGATCTCGTCCTATGGGACAGATTGTGATAAAGGACTCGCAAACTTTTTATTGTTATTCTTTGTATTCCCTAAAATCGTAAAAGACATTCAACTCTCCGATAAGCTCTTATAATTTTTATCGTGAGTTGTATCGGACTTTCAATTGCATGAACAAAAAATTCGGCCGGTTAATTTGTTCAGTGATGGAATTAATTAACTTGTTTTTGTTAGAAGGACGGTTAATCCAACGGACGAAGAGTTCGCACCTTCAGTCAATAGAACACTCACAACTTTTGCAATTATCGAATTATTATTAAATCCAACTCAGCCCGTGGTATTGAAAAACTTTTGCGGTCTCAAATATAGGGGAGTAGCCCTAGCTTTCATTATTCAGGACCACCGGTATGTATTTTGTTGTTACTATTATCGATCTAATGAAAAAATATATATTATACTGAGAATATTAGCTAAAGAAAATTCCGGAAATTTCCAGTGCAGTGGAAAAACATTTGGGGAAATGTCAGGCAAATGGTAAAATCTGTAAAATAGTCATTTTTATCGGATCTTTTCTCCCGTGGAGAACATACAGATGAATAAAGGGAACTCCTGAATTATATTTTTGTAATGCAAATTATTTCCGCCCCGATACCGGGAAATATATCCGCGGGATATTACTATGAGAAACGACTCCACCGTTTTCCCCTTCTTTCGTGTGAGATTCATATTTATTTGATTTCCACTGGCTGATACGGCGATTCTAACTAACACACGTGGAAATCCCATCGGGGGTGCGATGCCATCGGTTTTCGACTCGATTTGAAAAATAGTCGTCATGAGACGTCCATTTTTCTCCCGTCAGAACACCCCATGTTTTCCATTTTCATTTCAACAGAAATTCACACAATAAAAATATTTGAATTTTCCGGGGAATTATTCCTCATTTTCTTTTTCCATAAATTCACGGGATAATTGAACGGAAAACTGTGGAACATTGATTTTTTCAAGGACAATTGGCTTATGTAAAATCGATTTTTCTTTGTGAATCAAGTTTTCATCCTCTCGGTTACTCGATATGGCTTCAGTCGATTATCGATTGGCGTTGATAAAAAGCGTGGATTTTTCATAATACTATTCATCCCTAACGGTGAATTAATAATTCAGCATAATTAATGCCTGTAATGAAACTGAATCTCATGATACCATGATACCTTTTCATGAATTATTCCACATGTTCTAGTCGCACACCGGTAATTAATCATCGAATTCCAGCGATTTTTTTATATTCAATTAAAATGAAATTTCTCTTCAATTAAACATTTAAATTTCCCCCACAAATCAGAGAATTAATTTTTTGAAATGTCATCATACAATTTAGAGTAATAAAAAAATATCGCATGATTTTTCCTGAAAAGAAATCCTCACATTTAATCAACTTTTCAAGATGAATGGCAGCGGGATGTAATTTCAAAATAAATTAAACCTCGCGGCATTGAAAAATTTAATGACAATCGTCACTGGGAATTGAACAAAATTTGTGACAGTGCATGCATTCGAGAAAAATCGATGAGCCGAATATAATGTACGTCGCAGAGAACATTGAGATATTCCACGAAATATTTTTTTTTCATTCGAACCAGGGCGAAACGATTGGGTGATGCTATCACCATCACTATTCGGATAAGACGAAATGACAAATGTCGCCACCAAATGTTATTCATTAGGTATTCGTCACGCGCTACGACACGTGGATAATCAAGGCCTGGGAGATAGAGAATTTTTTTTTTTAATAGAAATAAATTGCAGTAATTAATATTTAATAACAATCGAATGGTGCATCACGCGTGTGAAGCGTTCAGTTATTAGATATGAAAATGGGAGAGAATTTTTATTCGACGCAAGGGGTGCATTATGCGAATGGTCAGGCGTCTCAGGATTATTTTGGAGAAGCTTTCAAAGGATCATGCGAGATGAAAGACGGGGAAAAGCGATCCGTGGGGTGTCATTAATTCATGGTGTTTTTCCTCGGGACCTTTTACTACGGATTTTTCAACATTTTTCAAGATAATTCAATCACCGGAAACACTGCATGACGCGGGAGACATGAGTGTTTCGGTGTCATGCTGAAAGTTTTTAGAGAAACATTATAAAAGCTTTCAAAATGTCGCCAGCCGTTGATCGGGGGGTTCCTGAAATTTTCAGAAACAAAAAAAAATCCACGACAATTGCCCCACAGGTATGAGATACTCTTCAGATACTCAAAGTAACAGAAAATAAATAGAAAAAAAAAGGAGAAGGTCTGGGAGTAGAGAAAAAATTTATTGGATTTGAATCAATAATTTTTATACCATTTTTCCAATGGCTTGAAATGGAAAAAAATAAAGGGAGAAAATGTGAAAAGTTTCTTTTGAGTTTGAAATCGTATCGATGGTTTCCATTGGGTTCTCGATTCCACAGGAGAAAGAGAAAAGAAAAGCCTGATGGATCACTGGATCCAGCACCCGCGATCCCAACACTATCACAAGCATTATACATTTCCCTCTCACGTCACAAATTCCACCACCTTGCTATTCTCATCGAGATAAGCTTTATCATAGATCACCCCTCAACGTATCCGGTGATTACGGATTAATTAGGAATTACTCACCGATTGCTCCGTATGATCTTGCAAGTGCCTCCATGAGTTCTGGTTCGGTGTAAACAGCCTCGTTCAAACCGGACGTCTCACCTCGCATCTGCAATAAAAATATTTACGCCACGTAAATTTAGTCGTGAAACACGCAACTCGTTTCTCTGTCAATGCAACCTCTCGGGACTGGGGTGCGGATGTACGTCACGTATTGCAAAAAAATTCGCTATTTTCTCCAGTGGCAATTGGAATTATTCAGGTGTCGGGTGTAAATTTTTTTATCAAATATCGATTATTCTTAGATTATTGTTAATTTCAAAAACTTATCCTTTGTTTTCTGTTTAATTTCGCCGTTTTATTACAGAAGATTGCAAAAAATGATAAGGATAATTTTGAAAAATATGATGAACTCCGGCGAAGGAGTTGAGCCGTGGGATTTTTCGCTGTTTCCTTTACGATTAATCCAATTTCTACAGGGTACTGGGGTCAGGATCATGCTGGTCAGGTGCTGCTTCTGATGTTCTGATGTAATTACCACATACTGCGTCCGCAGTAGCTTCACCCATCGCAAATAGTCGGGCTGCATAACATCATTAATGGAGATGACTGGTGAAAACCACGCGATGCGAATATTTTCCAACGTTCGTTCACTAATTGATTTATGATCCAATGAAGGGAATCACTCGATTCAAGGGTTCACAAGCTAAACTTGTCCCCAATAAATGTGCAGCATGAGAAGTGGATCGACGACAAATAACCGAACTATCACAAATTTGTCAATTAAATTGTACGAATAGCTTGGAATACTCCCAAGACTAATTGGATTCATTCAATGCAATTCAAGTTCAATCGAAAATTCAATTCGCAAAATCGGTGGGCGGACAGATTATTTTAATTAGTAATGTAAATTTTTGTCATTTCTACGAAAACAATTGCGGGCTCTTGGGTGTTTTTAATATTCAATTATGCTGTGAACAGGTGCTATGAATAATTCTCCGGATGATATATACTAGATCGATAATGTATCTCATAAATAAGGAATCAACTCCCCCCAAGAAACGTAAAATACACATGATAATCCCCGTTGCCATTACCCAGCATTAGAATATCCCCAAGGTGTGAAATTAAAATATAGTTGTGTAAATATATGCATGCCATCCCGCCAGCTTTTTTTTCTCTCGGTGCAATGAAGCTACTATGCACTGAACTTCACTCCCGCACTTTTATTAGTATGCATGGGAAAAGTTGTTCCTCCTGAACTAAGTTTATATATGAAACACATAACACGCCAGCTTACGTGCATATGTCGAGTGTCATTAAATATACGGGGATAATATATCCTGCAACAACTTCCGAATATATTCAGTATGATTAATTTATATTTCGCTTTTCAGGATGCAGAAATGGGGCGGGAGTGGAATTTTTGAATGTCCCGGACCGAGAGAATTAAGTCTCAAGACGCAACAAGTTGGCAATTGCAGATATCCAATCGAGAATTTTGCAGGGATTTTATTATTTAAACGTTTTAATATTTTAATTATCGGAGGGAATCACCGAGTCGTTTCGATTTTTTTCGAGGACGAATATTTTGATCATTTAACATAATTAGACACAATTTTATTTCCTCGTTCAATTATTCCGATAATTTAATTGAAACACTGAACCAATCGGGAAGCAATTAAAGATTTTGTAATTTTTCAAATTTCGAAATGATTTCGAATACATTCGATTTTTAATTTAATTCTCTACGTGCCGATGAAAAAAAATAATTAATAAATATATGAAGAAAAAAATATTAAAACTATCTTTAACTAAAAAAAATTGATAAAAAATTACCTGGAGAGGTATAGCGGAGGCCTCGATGAAAAAGACAACGAGAAGTCCGGCGACACTGATGGCTCGTGCAATCCCCATGTCTCACTTGTGAGTTGGAAATAATTTTTTGATAATACTCGTAAGGGTTGAAGATTGAAGCAGGTCTCGGAAAAGCGTACAGAGCACAATGACTAGTGTGCGTGATATCGTCAAATATATAGAGCGATTTCCGCGGCTTTCGGGGGGAGAGGGTTGACGCGGGAAAAGTAACAAGTGCGACGGCGCAATGGCTACTATCTCAAGTAACTCTTTTCCCATGTACGTCTCGTCAAGGTATTGCATCGCTTTTATCATTACCCTATCAATGAATTTCGATTTTTCATTCACTTTGTTTTTTTTTCATCGTTGAACCGTCAAGTCCTATTACAATAATCATTCGGTTATTACCGATTTCAGTCACTTTTAGATGCTTTTAGTCACTTTTTCCGGAAATTTTCAATATCGCGCATTTGGTGAATTTTTCGAAAAATTTTTCAAAAAATTTTTCAAATGTCAATTTTTTGAAATGTAAAAAAATTAAAAATTATTCCATGAGGGGTAATTTTCCCTCATTACGGATCTGCGGCCGGTCCGCTACTCAGAACTTATCAGTTTTTCCGGGAATTTTCATTATCCCGCCATTGCTGAATTTTTCAAAAAAATTTCAAGTGCCAATTTTGGGGTGCTGTTTAGCTGTATTTTTATGTATTTTTTATTGTAAGAAAAATTGATTCACATTCACTCACATTAATTGCACAATTCTCGGGGTGTTTCATACGCAGCCATTGCGTTCGATACCGGAGTTCATTGGGTTGGTTAAAAAATTAATAAAAGTAACGGCAAGTTTAACCGTGCGGCAGTGAGGCATAATCTCGTTTTCTTATCTATAATCGTTGCTGTGGGATCGATCGTCAGTACATTAACGCGGTCACTTCACAATATACGAGGTAAATAGCATCAGCTTATTCATTCCTGCAATTCTGTAATCATCGGTGAGCAAACATGCGCCAGAGTCGGCACTTCGTCTCTAATGAATTAATAGACATCGTGCAACGTATTTGCCGATATTCCCAGAGAGTGTTTTCGGAAACTGATACGTAAATAGAGCCCTCGTGTCCACCAAGCCAGACTATTTACTAGACTATGATGGAGGTAAAAATGATATCGAGGACGGGAAAAACTTGGGATCGATGAATGCTGGGTGCACGTGCATGAAGGAATTGTATTAAAAAATCCGGGTAATTCAATCCTTTCGTTTCAGCTGACGTAAACTCTTCAGGGGTTGATTTTTGTTTAGAAATATCTGAAATGGTATTTATTTTTCAATTTCAGGATACGTCAAAATGTAAAACTGTGAAAAATGAACAGTTTACAATGTTTTCGCAGCTAAAAGCTTTTCTTTTACGCTTTTCCTTATTCACTCAGTGAAATTTCTCACTCGATAGATTATGTCCTACGGAAAAATATATTTGTCATTCTTCTGAGAGTGGAAAATTGAAATCCTGCCTACAGTTTTATAAGAAACGAGGGTAAAGCCGATGATAACCAGCTTGACTGATGCTCGCAGGGGCTTTAATGCTCTGACATGTATCAAGAAAGCTTTTCCGAAGAGATTTGCGCATCCGGGGCTTGGCCGGATGTTCCTGGTAATTATGCATCAAAGAAATATCTCCTGGATTCGCGTCATGAAGAATTCCCAACTCCTGATCAGCCAGAAATATTCCTGTCACTCGAAAATTCCCTCGAAATGTTCAGAACAATCTCCACAAGATTGCGCAAAGGATCATATCGAAGTTAATCAATTAATATTATTATCAATAATTAATTAATGCAAGTGACGATATGAAGACGTGCATTATTTTTCTAGTATAAAATGTTCGGAGTGAATTCATAATCTTTAACTGTTCCTCGATGGGAACGCCTGATGATGGCATTTAACGTTCTAGCCCCGGCGCTATTTCCGACCCTTCCTGAAGATGACTTTGACACTTTCAAGCAGACCATCAAGAATACTTTGACAATAATAAAAGCCTGCGGAATCGACCTTTCCGTATCTGGTGCGGAAGATAATCGTCGTGATCTTGAAATTTTCCCTGTCAATGTAAAAATAATATACCACATCCCCGCCGTGATTTATTCATTCCACAATATTATAAATTTTTGGTTGGCATTGTATTTTATTAAATAAAAAAAATTTCAAAATAATAAATATCACTTGAACACACCAATTAATTATTCCAAACCATTTTGCAATTAACAAACTTCCATTAATATTATAAAAATATCATGAATTTATTCGAAGGTCTCAGTAAATTGGACTTTTATTTTCTTCCGGGAAATTCAATTGAAGATTGTTATTTTATTGCAAAAGGGTTTCGTCGCACTTTTATGTATAAATAAACTTATTAACCAAATGGGGGAAAATAGTGCGTCAAATCAGGTCTAGAATAATATAAATATCTAAGAATAATGTCGTCAGGGTTCTGATCATCTCCGTCGGGTGACTACAATAGTATCTATGACGTATTATCCGAGCTATCGAATACCGTCTAATGGATTCTTTGTTCGGGGTTGTACCTACGTGCTGATTATTCTACATTGAGGGGTCGTCCTGTCCTCTGGGGTTGCAAAAATGGTATAAAAGACCTGAATCCAGTAGTTTTTCGATCATACCCGGTGAAACAACAGTGTCTCGAACAAGTTCCTTCCCGCAGACGAAAAATGAAAAGTTTTACCATCTACGTAAGATCTCAGTGCCACTTAATTAATCAGTGATTTTAATCTATAATAATTCATTATATTGATTTCCGGTGATCCGGGCGTGTATGTCGAGGACTAAAATTAATCATTAAATTGTGCCCGAAAAAAATGGTCAGGAAAAATTGCGTGACACGTGGCGGGGTTTTTTTTTTATGGGGAAAAATTATTTTTAGAGTCTAAACACTTTGGAAAGGCGAGAGCCGAATTTTTAGAAATAATTTACGAGAAATCGTGTGGGAAAATACTTTTACCAGAAATTTTTATGGGGTAGTTCTTAGGGCTTTTTAAGGGTGATTTTTGGCATTTAATTTTCCTCGTGTTTTGTAGATTGCACTGGTAAATTTGGCAATTATAACCGATGGACGACAGTTCAACTTCGATCAGTGGTCGAAGATGATCGATCCGGATGATTCGCTGGGATTTCCAGATGACTGCATCACTCAATCCTGCAATGACCTGTACGAAGAGAAACGGAGTAGAGGTTTTGAAGGAACCAATCAAATGATGGCTGTAATATATTATTATTAATTTTTTATCGAAGAGAAAATAATTTCGGATCGTTTGATATTTATTCCGCGATTTTTTTTGTTCAATTTTTTTTTAGGCAACGGGACCCTATCATTTTTCGATTGATCCGTGGGAGTGGATGTCGTGCCCCTGTGAGACTGCATATATCATTGAGGATCTTGGGTCTGGGCATTACCCCCGCTATCTCTCCCGGGCCCACTGTGTCCACAAAACTTGCCGCAATAGACTGAATCCATGCAAATTGCTGGACTACAAGGTCTGATCAAATTCTATTATAAAAAGCAAATGAATTTTAATTGGAGTCATATTTTTTAATTGCAGGTGCATATTCTTGAGGAACGTGATCCTAATGAACCGAATGATGGACAGTACATAGAACAGGCGGTATTACCCGAACCCCTTCGCGTCCAATGGCAAATGAAACCAGTGACAATTGCTGTGGCCTGTGTCGCTGTCACCGAACGGAGAAAAAATTGATAGCCTCACTCGCTGAATTAGTGTCGGAGCCTTTAGAAACTGGTGACAACGCTGTTAAAAAATTTTTACTGGATTCTCCGAAATAAGAACTTTATTGAAATTTAGTATGAAAAATTTCAGTGAAGATTTTTACTGGCAGGAAGACAGATATTTGCACGAATTTAATATTCATTTTCAAATTACCTGAAAATTCGCGGAAATTTGAAAGTCGATGAAAATTACGTGGGGGTTTCGCGATTCGGGGGTGGCCTGTCGTGGAATAGTGGGGATGAATTTTTCAGGCAATTTTTGTCTAATGGAGAAATTCATTCTAGGAACTTGGATTGCAATTTCGTCATGATAACCACCACGAGAACTTGTCCGATAATGAATATCCACAAGGAAATATTCAGGAATGATATCATCATTAATTTTTCTGATGTTTTGGTTTCCTGGAGCTGTTGCAATTTCTCTCCTCGTAAATTTGACAACTTAAAATGACAAAAGTGTCCCAAAACGACTGATTTTCAATGGATTATTACTACACATCTCTAAAGCAAAAAAAAATGTACGAATAGGGTAATAAAAATACTACTTCACCTACTTTATGCCCAATTTTCCAATCCCCATAATGAATTCCAATAGAATTGTGAATAGAAACACATTCAAGTGTCGATTGAATAAATGTCGAGAGAGAATGTACAGAGAAATATTTCAAAAGATGAATTATTCCGAATCGTGACGATTTTGTTATTCCTGAGATAAACGATAAAAAATCTACGTGCTGTGGTTCGTAATGATTTGAATTTCCATTTTTCCGGGAAATTGCAGAATCTAGACGGATCATGACCTTTCAATTGCCTCATATACCAAATGAATACAATTAAAAATCGAATTCAACGTGGGCATGAACAATAAAAATTTACAAGTCCATTGTATATAGTATTTTTTTTTGTTTTCGTTACATCCTGCATCTGCTCGATATTAATATAAACTATTTTCGTTTGGATTATTCTCTAGGCGTGGGTGACGAAGAGCCTATCGAATCCCCATTGTCCGTGTTATTATTTCATCCCCCTGGAAAACAGGAAACGGAGGCTGAAGGGTCTCGCCCGGTTGGAGATCCAACGGAGGAAGTCTAAGTTGTTACAAGAAAATCCACTACTATTCTGGGAGCTGCGGAAAAACCGAGTGAGCACGACATCATCCCACGTACAAGTTCATCTACCTAAAGTACATGACCCTTTCCACTCAAGTCCTCCTACTATTTCAATGGGCAATTGCTCTCCTGCACTTGCAATAAATAAATCATTCAAATTTGAAAATTGAATTGTCGCAAATTTGCGTGATGGTACCAGAATTTTTAACTCAGCAAAATTTTTCTAGAAAAAAATGACAGCACCCACCAAAAAAAAAAATCCCAACCAAAAAAAAATGTTCATTCCTCATTTTTTGTTTAGTGTCTCATGAGCGAATGAATCCATTAAGTGGCCCACGCAATTTTTTCTGATAAATCTAATCAGGGAGCCTAAAAGGTCGTTGAATCTAATCGTCGGGGTTGAAAAAATTATGAGTAACCAGTACTGTATGAAAAAGCTCACTCCGACAGGTGTTTACCCGAGATAAGGCCATTGAAAGGCACTCGATGGCAAGCGATAGTCTGAATCGATCCGGAGAGTAAAAAAAAAATTGCCGGCAAAATAAAAATACAGAGAGACTTTTACGTGGGTTCATTCAATTCTCATTTGTTTTTTACCGACTGAAGGGTTGAATATCACCAACAATGCGTCTGCTCATTTTTTTTTTCCCATATAAACGAGTTCAGTTGGAGTTGTGAGCTACAAATGTCTGAGAAAGTGCTCAGAACGCTCTCTTTGTCGTCATTTTATTATTCCTCCGGGTGTTATTGCTCGTTACTACTACCAACACCCATTGCTCCATTCAATAAACCTTCGGTTCGGAAAATTATTTCACAAATGGAAAACTGCATTGTTTTTTCTTTTTAATCAAGAATTATTGTCGTTATGTCTATAAATTTATTTTTCTGAGCTGTTAAACGTGTTAAATTTTAATAAATCTAGGTGAGTGGAGTGTACTGATTCGGTGAACGGGTCTAATGGTCTGTTGTACTATTCAATTTCAAGTAGAGATGTCATGCTTCCGGGAAAATGTCATTAATTCATTGATAGTGAAACAAATCATGTGTGATGGAAAATTTTGAATTGTTGGAATTTTTTAACAGCTCTTGAAATATTTTTTATCTACAGCGAAGTAGGTAATTAGGGAAAACTTTGAATTTAACTACTTTATCACTTCATTATTGATTTTCTTCTGTGATTTGAGGGGATTATCTCAAGAATAAACGTGAACTCCTGGGGATTCTGAAGGTTCTATATTAGAGAGACTTTCCAAATGCTAATATCACCTGTGTTTAAGGTACACGAGGCGAAAATGACGGCGAAATTTCGACTTAAACCCTTCTCTTGCTTCTGTGTCATGAATTGTGAAAATATGACAAAAAGAATGGAAATGTAAAATATCACTGAACCATCAGGATATACATCAGTAAAAAAAATTATGAGGAAAAATCCAGAAGTTAAATAATTAATTAAATTGGCGCATGAAAATTGCGCAGACGATAAATTGTATATTTTGTCGGGTAAATTACCTGTAATTGATGGTCTCGGCGTTCAAAGGCCGTGTGAAATGAATTGAGACGAAAATATTCAATTGCCCGATTTATTCTTCTCATTCTACTGCCAATTTTTTTTTTCTTTTTCAATTTTTGATTCTTCGTTCGGTTGTATTGGTACTATTTTTTTATTTCATAAAAAATATTGATGTAATTCTGAGAAAAGTGTCATTTCCGGAAATTTCAAATTGTTCGACTGGATTTAATGGAGCGTAAATATTTATAAACAAAATTATATGAATTTTCAATTTTTTTTTCTCAAACTCTGCAGTTTTTTCATAATTTTCAGGAAGTAATTCAGCTAGGAAATGATGATTATTATGGAAAAAATTCCTGTCAACATACCGGCAGATCGTTTCGAAATTGAAATTCATTAGGAAATAGTTATAAGTCGAACTCGCAGATGCCACCTTTGTGAGATGTCCAAGAAGAGGTCTGAAATAAAAAAAACTACTATGTGATACCAAAAGAATAAATTCTGGTGTCAAATCTCCTTCAATCTCCCTCTTCTATTAAGAAAAATCCCGAAATTTATACCAAACCTTTGAAAATTCTACTTTGCACTCCAACTTTTTTACCCCTCGAGTAGTGACTTCATCCATTGTGATGCGCGAAATGCGCAGAAAATTCCAGTTCATCGCGAACAATTAATTAATTCTCAACAATTGACGGTTGAATCCAGAAATTGTGCACAGCAAGAAATAACATCAATAAACGTAAGTCCACATTTTTCTGAATTTCGCGAATGAATAATTAGTGCTGAGATGAGAGGTTATGACACACGTGATGGATCATGATATCAAAAATCACCAGCTGCTGGTAAAAAAAAAATTAGCCCGACCTTCAGTCGATAAACATACCCCCAGTCTCACGGAACGCGCGAAATAATAAAAAGTATAATCATCAGTCCATCACGTCCATTTAGAAATCCTTTAGGACAGCTTAGGATCCCAATTTTGTAATTTAGGAATGGATACTTTATTTACAATAAATTCTTTCAATTCCACCCGCAAAAATTTCGAAAGCGAATTTGAAGCCCCAATTAATTATCATTGAACTCGTTAATTATGCGCATATCCGTTAGTCGCGTATGAGAATGAAAGTGAAAAAAAAAATAATAATCACGAGCAATATCGCCTTTGACATTATTTCATAATTCCATCAAGGCTGTTTGATAACGAGCACTAGTGTGACGTAATCTTTTATCACTCATTTGCAATTACGACAAGATTACTTCCGTTGAGTGTTCCCCTCGAATTATTATAATGCCTGATCTCCATGAATCAATTAGCTATCAATAAAATGCGACAATAATGGATTGTAAAGAATTAAAACAGAAATAGTTCGCATAGACAATTTATTGTTGCATCTTCTGTAGGAGTACATGGTCTACATGCGTTATACATATGTCAATTCATATCAATAATTAGTCTTTCCTTATAATGATTCTCATGGCAAAATAACGTTGATGAAGAAGATTCTCAGGTACAATGCATCGATCAATTACACCCGCGACTGATTCATTTCTCTGGATAATCGCGTCGGCGTTTTATACAAAAAAATATATTTGAATCTTTGCAGGTGTAATCTTTCAACAAATAAAAAACTAAACTAACGAATCTATACATTTAACAAAAATCTAGGGATGAAGATTTGATAAATAAATTAACGAAGGGTACAGGCTATCATTCATCAGCACAATTTTCTTATCACATCCATACAATTTTCAATTGTTATCCTTTTGATTCGATTAAAAAAAAAATCGAGACTGCGCTGTAAAAATTTTTCTGGAGAAATAAAAATAATTTCTTGATTCCCGAAAAAAAAATGAGTTGGTTAATGAGAAGAAATGACAATTTTTTTGCTGCCGAATAAATTCAAGAATGAGTTTTACCCCAAGCCCTTCCTCGTAAACCTATCGATGAAATAAATACGTCAAATTTCAATGACTCGATGGGATTTCAATCACCCGAATACATCTGCTCCATCGGTGGGTAATCATTGGATTTTCATAAAACAAATAATAAACTATGTATTAAGACAAGATACTGTTAAATACTAAAAGTGAACATGCCTCTTCCCGCACCCTCGATTATTAACCAACACTATTATCAGTACAAAAATAAAGCAATAACGGTGGAACGATTGAAATTGAATTTCCATTAGAGTCCGATGAAAAAAACATGTTTGTTACAAGTGACGAAAGGCGCGAATGAAGAACTCCAATAAGAAATCAGCACTTCTGACGTGTGCTACTTCATAATTGACGTTTGCGTCCCATATTGCAGATCTTGAAGTGACACAAACCCATATCTGTAATTGAAAATTGCATATTCATAACTTGACATCAAAAAGTCGTTCTGCCACAAGAATTCGTGAATTAAAATGAATTGTTAATGAATTATTTCGTTCACTCATTAATTTATTTGGGAAGTTTAAAGGAAAAATCATTGGTGCTGTTATTTTAAAAATACTGGCTAACTCTAGATTTCAATGACGATCGTATGAAATCGGGTAGACGATGCGTGGCGCCGAGTTTTAACAATCTAATGTAGAATCAATTATCATAATTGTCATCACGCGATTGCGTTAGATCTTGGCGCATTGCAATGCGACGTGGAGTCAAATTGGCGATGGTAAAGAGACCTTTGTTGTTCTCGATGCGTCCAATGATTATATCGAGTCAAGTGGTCCAATTATATTCGATCTCCTCATTTTCTCATTCATTGGAGCAAATAAAACCACCCGGCGCTACTCGTGCACCTAATGTTTAATCGAAACGACTTTTGTTGTCTGTCAATTGACCATTTGACGGTTATCATTCCATTTTTATTTGCAATTATCGCGAGATTCATTGCAGAAATCCAGATATTTTTTTTTTCAGCCACTTAAACAAATTTCTTTTGCCAAATTGAGTAACTGCGAGCAAATCCATGCATTTCAATATTTGTGGACTGAATTTTGTGAAAATTTGGCAGAAGAAACTATTTTTTCTTGGCGCGTGAGAAATTTAATTTACTCACAGCTCGTACGTTTTCCGGTGTGTCCTGATGGTGCATGAACAACGGCACTGGGAATTGGTAATTTTTCCGGCTCCTCGTCAAATGATTCACTCCCGATGGGCCTACGATTCCTCATTTTTTCTTCGAAAATTGCGCGAAGATCAAATTCCGCCTCCGTTAATTCGCGTTCTTCCTCCAGAATCTTGTGCTCCAGGGCAGCAATCTGCTTTAACCTTTGCAGCAAAAGCTGAAATTAAAATAGAAGTCTCATGAAGTTAATTTAAATTATGAATATTCACCGCAGTACGAAAGTGAATTTTATCGAGTTCAGAATCGACAATTCCGAGAAAAAATAATCGGTCCCGCGATATTTTAATAAAATCAATTCATTTATTTAAAAAGAAAAAACCAGTTGTTTAATAAAAAAATTGTCTTGACCTACAGTGAAATTATGATTTTTTCATTTCACGTAAAAAATCTGGAAAGTTGACAGGAAAATTGGCGGATAAATTTTTCAACCGATAAATTATGATTTCTATCACGAAAATTTAATTAATCTTACTAACAAGATTCTCACTGTCTTCCACCAAGCTATCAGCATAGTACATGGCAGATAGTGGCTGATGTGCACCCCAAACATTGTGTATCGTCGTCAATGAGAACACAGCAAGTATCAACAATCTCAAGCTCGTGCACTTCTTCCTCATAATTCTCTGCTTCATGGATCTGCAATGAAAAAAAAATGATAAATTTCAGAAAGTTCTGCGAGAAAATCCTGCAACACGAGATTTTCTTCTCTCAGGGAAATGGTCAGGCGTTCTTTTTTTTACGTAAGATTTTACGTAATCGAGGCTCTAACAAAAGAAAAATTCTAGATAAACCGCAGACAACACGGATTTATGGGGAAGAAATAATTTCTTGTCCTGAGAACACTCGAAAATTCTCAAGGGACAGGACGATCTCATCCTATTCAAAGAATTTTTTCCCGCAGTGGGAGAAGGAAATTAATCATCAGGAGATTCCATAATTTTTCTCATTGAACGAAAATTCCAGATGATCTTTTATCATTTGATAATGAGTGAATATTTAGAGATTTTGTTCATAATTTTCTGAAAACATAATGCATTTATCAAATAAGACATTAATATTATATGAAAAAATCATTTCCTGTGGAGTTATGGAATTTGGGGGAAACTTTCTTCATTGTCTAGAACTAAATCGACTCCGCGCACCGAAAAATCCAGCAATTGGAACTTACAGATTCCGGACAGAATACGGAATAGAAATCCCAGTGGTTTATCACTTTCCCCACGATTTTACGAATAAGAACGGTCAGCACGAGGAAAAAGTCGGGTGAAATCGCTCAAGAGGGGATGGATCCGGATCTTTTGTGATTGGAGTATCACCAGAATGGATTGCAGAACGCTCATCTCTAAATCCGTTCCGCCCACCCAATAAATACTAATAATAAAATGCAATTAAATATTGAGTTGCGAATAAATAATTGAATCTCTTTGCTCGCAATGTTATCCAAATATTTTTTCTCCTTTTGAATATTTTAAATTCATGTATTTCCTATTTAAATCCCGCTGGGATCTCACATATCAAATTCAACTCATTGAATTCTCATTAAAATCTCTTTATATGGAACTGTTTTCATCACTTCATTTTATACTTTTTTCACGAAGAGAACGCTTTACGAATTTCGGTACATCTCCACTCCATCCTTGTAAATAAAAATTCTCGATTCAAATAAAATTTTCGTAGTCTATTAATTATAGATTTAAAAACGTGCGTAGAAAATCAAATGTCTTGAAAAATATCGCGAAATCTCGTGGTCCATATATAAAAATTATTTTATTTATTATTATTTTTTCCTTCATTTTTTTAAGAACGAGAAATATTTCCTAAAAATATACAATACCAATTAAAATCTATTATCTAAATTTTCAGTGCATTCCGTAATTTCAGTTGTAATTTTCACTGAGAAATTTTCCTATTCACTTCAATAATCGGTAAGCGACGATTTTTCCGCGATTTTTGTTTTCTATTTTTCCCCATTTAGAGTCGATTTTCAGGGATACATGAAAATAATTGATGACATTTGAACGAAAATTGTACCTCAAAATCGGAATTGTCCCCGTGTGGAATAATTCGCCGAACAATGTAATCCCGGGGTGCAATAAATCTCTCACAGTCTCACAATGTGAAGCACCGAAAGCACCGGGATAATGACACAGGCCGTAGCCACAGGAAGCGGTAGAATATAAAACAACACGGACTGTTACCGATTAAGATGATGAGTGTTGGAGAAATGAAGCGACAGGGCGAGTGAAGCCCTGTATTATATCCCTCTTCCCATGGCGTTTTACCCCTCTCCAGCCACCTGTAGGACCGCGCATAAGGTGTTCACACCCACGCGTATTCCCATCCATTTAATTCATTCTTCATCCAGAAAAAAAAATTGTCTTTGCCAAGGAGCCATTACTCTGGATAACTCTATATTTTTTCTAATCATTATTATTCCACCAATTGAGTAATCTCCCCGCCATTGCAATGAGGTTTTCATACCGCAGATGCATCCATTAATTGGTATTTTTTTAAATTAATTATAGGATATGTATGGAATTTAATTATTTTAAAAAAACATTTTCACGGAAAAATTTGGATATCGCTGTGAAATTTGAAAGATTTAATTAAAAAAAAAAATTGAATATTGAGAGGGAGATGAACGTGCGAGCGGACGTTTCACGCAAGTGGTGCATTCCGTATTCGATCAGACGGCCGACACAGCGGGAAAAATTTCCGAAAAATGACGAAGACATTTCGTGATTTTGTCCGGAATTTTTCACTGGATTTTTCTCGTTGCACGTGTTATCAGAAAAATCGTCATTGAATTGCGAGTGCACACCGCCGCATGATTGATTAATGATGATCGGAGGAGTATCTGCCTTCAATATTCTCCAATAACGGAAAGGTCCAGAGTTCAATGATTGTCGATTGGTTGTAGTTGCCGGCGGTCTCAACGAATCTCCTGTTTACGCTCTCACAAGGCATATCAACATTTTCCGGTAATCTACAAACCGCTTGAATGGCTGATAACTCGAGTTGTAATGACTCGTAATAATCGGCTCCCTGGAGACACGAGCTATCGTTTAATAGATTACATTTATGAAGAATAGGAAACTTGCGTCATTTTTTTTTTGTCAGTTCATGACCTCAACCAGTGATTCATAATTAAAACAGTTCGACCCCCCACGCCTGGGCTACACTAGTCTCAAATATTATCTCCTGAATTTTCTCACTAAATCGCCCAAACAATATAAATTAAATTTCGTAAAATATTGAGATTTTTTATAAATAAATACATCATAAATAAATTTATTTGTCATTTGAAAATTTCTTGGTATTTTGCAGATAAAATGGCGGATGAGGATTGCGAAAAGCCGTTCGCTGTGGAGCGAGCGAAAACCGGTCGTGCCAAGTGCAAAAAATGCAAGTGCCCGATCGATAAAGATGATGTGAGAATAGCCAAAATCATGGCCAATCCATTTGGCGATGGTAAGATGAAGGCCTGGCATCATGTCGATTGCATATTCGATATATTCGGCAAGCAACGAGCGACCACGAAGAGAATCGAGAATCCTCCCGAGGACATCGCGGGATGGGACGATCTAAATAATGCCGATCAAAAATTAATCATCGAGAAACTGGAAGAATTCGAAGATAAGGGTAATTCGCACCGATTCATCTCACTTCTCCAATAAAATAATTAAATTATCACTGCGAATAATTAATTAATTATAATAATAATTGAAAAATTTGGAAATGGAGTGAAAATGTTTTCTGTTGGTAGAATAACGTGGGGAGATTTTATCCAGAAATAAATATTAGTCCCTCGATCTATCATATATTAAATAATTTAATGTCAGGTTGTCATCAGGTAATAATTATTTTATTTGACACATCAAGGATTTTCCCTGTTATTGCAGCTCCATTCAAAGGGAAAAGACAGGCGAGTCCAAATAAAACAGAGTCACCACGGAAAATATCGAAGATAACGTCGACCTCACCTCCCAAAATTAATCCTAAATCATCGATTAAGAATGAAGCATCTGGCTCATTGCGTCGAGACGATTTATTTAAAGAATTCCGGCGGGTCTGCGCCGACATCGCGAATGTTTCTGCATACACTGATAAAACTGCTGTTGTCAAGAAAATGCTGAGGAAGGGCGCCGATGGGAGTGAGTACATCAACTACTCCATTTTTTAAACTGACAATGATATTAAAAATAAATGGAATTCCACGGATCATCAATTATCGATTTAGCGCGGAAATTATTGATCCATCGGGGATTCGTCAAATGACTTTTGGGTAGATCTTTAAAATTCCGAGAAAATGTTCTTTTGATTTTTTACGGAAATCAATGGTTTTTTAATTAAATTATTTATTGAGAGAATTATTTATTGGAAATTTCCAGTTGTTTTCGGTATGATATGAAATGCGAATCACTGGGAGAAATTTTTTAGTGAACATCTCGAGCTTCAGTTTTGAAAGGGCACGCACCTCTGATTACAGATAATTCTCCACGAAATAATTCTCCTCTCCAGTGCAATATGGATACACTTTTCACAAATATTTTTTACCAGCTTTGTAAAATAAATTTGGGAGTAAGTTTCATGGAAATTCACAGCACACTAATCACAGTTCACTGTGACACTCAAAAGCTCGAAAGTTCGTCAGGCATTTAATTACAAGTTTCACTATATTAACTGTTTAACGAGTATTGGGCTATCAAGTGGAATTGCGTTGACTTATAAGCTTGTTCCCACCTCCCACCACGAAGTCATCGAAATCCATCGTTCAGAGTGGAGAATGACGAGCCCCTTGTGTGTAATATGTTCAGCCAGCTTGGCACCATCATTCCCACCACCAACATCTGTTGCTTCCCGACTATTTTACCCATTTCCCCTTCCACTCACTTTTTCATTCATTAGAGAATGCAATAGTCGTTTGTTATCGCAAATACTGTGGGAGCAGTTGTCCGAGCGCTGCGAAAAAACTTTTGAGAAAATTGCGCGCACCGCAAGACAAATATCTAGGAGAAATTGCAAATCATTCCTCTAATTCGTTTTTTTAAATCACACCTCGATAAATATCCAATGAAAAATAAGAAATTAAATTACTCACTATTCGCTCATCGATTACGAAATAAATTCGGAATGAATTTACACAGGAAGAAGTGAAATCTTCTGGAAATTTTCCGATTGTTTTCTCCACTCGGTTTTTTATTCATTAAAAAATGCGATCGACTTTTATTATTTCGTATTTTCTGGGAGCAGTTGCAAGAGGGCTGTTTTCAATGAACGGAGAGAAAAGTGTGGAAAATATTGCGTACGCGACGGAAAATTTACAGACCGAGAGAAATAATCAGTGGTAATACCCCGAGAGCTACGAAGTGATCGGGTATTTTCCGATATTTTCGTTGCAAACAAATGGGAGTATCATTTTTTTCAGGCTTAAAAATTCCGAGCGGCTGCCTCTGCCTCTGAAAAATATTTGATGCATTTTAGAGCTGGAGTATTCGGACGATTATTTCTTCCATCAAAGCTGTGGATTTTCCAAAAAAAATTTTCAACTAAAAAATATCAATAATTCATTTCCCCAACCCAATCATTCAACTATTATATTATCCTAGTTACTCCTGATCATGTCAAAAAAAAATATTATCCTAAAAATTAATGGACTCAGAATGACAGACGAATTTGTGGACATTAATATTTTTTTTTTTCGGTTTCGTCCCACATCTGCGTCAATCGCCCAGACTACGTGAAAAATTTATCGCAACTTTCTTCACATCCGCTCGCATGATGCAATCCCAAATGTATCGTGCGATAATAAAAAAAAAAAGTCTTTCGAATTCGACACGAGGACTCGCGCATTCTCGAGGAAAAAACGCTCCACCGATTAGAATATCTGGTATTGCGTAATTCAATCTCGATGAGATTACTCATCACTATTTGTATTCATTTGAATTTTGGCTGAGTGACTTGTGTCACGTAGAGTCACGGTAATTCACTTAAATAATTTATCCAACCCAAAATTAATTTAATCCAACCGTAAATTCGCGGAATTCAACAATTCTTCAATTTCCACCATTGCAATATACTTCAACCCGATGAGAATGAAAAAAAATATTTATTTCAAACCAATTTATTCGTGGAGGAACATGCGGAATAATTAGCGAATATTGAAGGAAAAATGATTCTGTCGGACGAGTGATAAAAACCATCGAGGAACCCTGACCCCATCGCGATCGCGTTCCACTGCATTTGAATGAAGTCATCACTCCTTTTGGTATCAGTCAAACTGTCAAAAATCGAAATCATCATGTCGGCTTGTGTCCACCAAACCTTGGGCTGAGTCAATGACCCGCGGATCGGTCAAGTTTAGAAGCGTGCCAGGAAGTAGACTGATGAAATATATGGAAGTCATTTGATGCGTAAAAAACTTGACGACAGAGATAAAAAAATTTAAGAACAGTTTTGGGTACCGATTTCTTAACGCCGAGCTTAGACTTGGGTTTACAATAAAAAAAAAATATTATAACGACAATTGAGATTTCGGGTGTTTATCAATATTAAAAATTACACGTGTTATTTGAAAATTTAATCCTTTTCTCTTCATTAATGACATCGTTCCGATGATTGACTGTGGAACCGGTTCCGATCGGTCGTTATTTCATCAGTTTTTTTAATGAAATACGAAACTTTCGGTATTTATGCGAAATTTATGCTGGACGGTATGAAATTAGTGAGTGAATAATCAGATGATTAACGAAAAACAGAAAAACCGTGACGAACGTGGAATTTAATCACCTCTGTAACGTCCAGATGTTCCTCCCTGGTCTCTCATCGGTTTATCATTTCCCTGGACTTTATCTCCCAGAAACTGTTGACCCGCCCGCGGGAAAATTACCCGGTCCCATTAATTCTTGAAACCCGGTAATTAACTCCACTGTCCAAAGCCAAAATAAATATCGCCAACGAAAAAAATTGAATAGTTATTCCAGATGACCTTTTTCGAAATTTTTCATCATATGTGAGTTCAATCGAGATTTTAAGAAATTAAAAATTCAGAATTGTTTGCAAAAATGGAAAACAACTGCAAACATCCGTTTGATTACTCTCTAAAAATTGCTGTACAACAAAGAAAAATGGCGATAAAAAAATATTTGAATTCTGCATTCTTCGAAAACTCAGGGCAATTGCATCGCAGAATTTCGCAGAATTTTCCCAGATTTTCCCTGGACCCTAACATTCCTGAAAACAAATTCCCAAGATTTCATTCTATTAAATTTTCCCCGCAATATAAGAATCTAACTCATCCCGATGACTCCTGACCCCACGATCTTTTCGAGTGCATCTTCCTCGACACTGCACTCCCCTCTCGAATAAAATAGCCATTACAATGGAAAATCCAGAATAAATATCGGAGAAAATATAAACACGTCAGTTTATCGGGGATCTAAAACGCATCGAGAAGGTGAAACACGACTGGTGCATCGTAAAACGTGTTTCGATATGCATTACACACTGGTCAGTGGAAATAAATGCTCCCCGAGGGGGAAAGGGATGTAAAAGGAGGGGGCTGGGCTGGGGAAGGGGTGGTAAAAGGAGGGGGCTGGGCTGGGGTCGGGGGGGGCTAAATCGTAGATGCCACGCAGTCTGTTGAATTATCGCGGGTGTGAAACGACTTGCGGCGCACACGCGAGAAACTTGTGCTCCTTATCTCTGTCGTGACCATCGCCACTGCACCATGTACACAGCTATGTATCTTCTCCCCTATCATCCCCTCCCTCTATCCCATTCTACACTTGTTCAACGACTCTTTAGCGAATTACGCCGCGTATTGTCCCTGATTCTCAGTTCATATCTCTCGAGTTATGTAAAAATTGTAATACAACGATTGATAATGTTGGGAGTGTCGCACTTTAATTCTGGGAATTTATTTACCGAGTCGATAGATTATCGCGGGATGAAAATCACTTGTGATTGGATATTTTTGGGGGGTGATAAGGATTTTCAAGGGCAATGCATGGATGCGAAATTGTTGTAATTCGTTTTGGATTGATATGGGAGAGACAAGAGTTCACGAGAGAAATGTTTGGGCTTTTTGTTTTTTTTTATTTCATGATGAGGGGAAATTTGACTGGCTGGGGAATTTTGGAGTATCTGGATTATTCGATTTATTTGGAATTGATTTTTTATTGTATTTTTTTCGGTATGTTTGAGAGACAATTGAACTCTTTCAGCTCTTCGAGGAGAACTGGAAGTAGTTGACGGAAAGACCGGATGGAATCGGAGATTATTGGCGAAAAGAGTAATGCGATGATAATAGGGTAACTCTGTTTATGTTCCCCTGGAAGATGATGGGAAAGAGCTCTGCGTTTTTTTCCACTGGCAATTAATAAATTCTCCTTTCGAGCAAGTGTACGAGAAAATTATTTCCATAAAAATATGAGTTCTTGTTTGCCGTGCGGGACTTTGATCGGGTACAGTCGATTCGGTGCGAATAATAATCGCGGAAAATGGAATGGAAAACCCCAGAGCAATCTCCAATTTGTCGATTGATTTTTGTATTGAAACTTTAAACATTTTCGAATAATTCTCGATTAATTATTGATTCAAAAATTAACGTGATTTTTCACGGAATTTTGGGATTGCTTGGATATTTGCGGATAATCCGTGATGGATATAGAATCAAAAAAACTTCCATGGAAACATTTCTGATTAAAACGAATTGAATAACCTCATAATCCGTAAACTTTGACCGCTGATTAATAATCAATTCCGCTTCCATCCACGTGTTTGATATTTCCATTGAAACTTTTTTTTTACCCACGATCAAATTATTATTTTGATGGTTTAACAATCGATCGATCGGTTTGTAGTCCGTACCAGTGGGTTAAACATAAACAATTGTCTGTGGGAGATAATGAGGTATGAACGAGGTGAATGTTAGTGACCCGATCGCTCCAGCTCGAGTTGCTGAAGGTTATGGCATAAATATTATTGTATAATACCTCTTCAATTTTTATGCTCTCTTGATACTTTTTTGAAAATTTTGAATTTTCAAATTTCAGTGAATACCTCCTCGATCCTCATGCCCCCCTAATATTTTTTTGAAAATTTTGAATTTTTAAATTTCCGTGAACATCTCCTCGATCCTCATGCTCCCCTAATACTTTTTTAGAAATTTTGAATTTTTCAATTTCAGTGAATACCTCCTCGATTGTCATGCTCCCCTGATATTTTTTCGAAAATTTTGAATTTTTCAATTTCAGTGAATACCTCCTTGATTGTCATGCTTCCCTGATACTTTTCCGAAAATTTTGAATTTTCAAATTTCAGTGAATACCCCGGGGATTTTAATTCCGCCTGGATCAGAAAATTCTCGAAATTGGTGTCAATTCCATTTTTCCTCCCAATAAAATCGATTTCCCTCCACTAATCACTATGAACCAACATAAATCGCATGATTCTCGTCTTCTGCCAACTCAATAATTGACACCGATCCATAGGTTATCATCTCGCCGATTTCCACGTGACAAACAATAATCAATGGCCCACAAGTGCGACCGTGAGTCGGTGGAAAAATATTGCCAACCGGGGGTATGTAAAATGGCCGACGATCTAGTTTATTGAATATAAACCATGCGTTATTATCAACTTTTTCGACTTATCATCTCCGTAACTTTCCACGACGATATACCCAACACGACCTTTCGCACTTTGTGTACTCGCTGGAATGCGTCTTTGCTAAATTGTTTATTCAACAAAACACGCACCAAGATAGTCTAGTATTCATACACCACGATACGTAATTTCCGAGGGGATGAGAAAAATCGGTAGTAGCTAGGGTGGGGGTGATAGTGACTTGTAATTATTCTGTTATGAAAAAAATCTTTCCCAGAAGATATTGCATTGGCAGCTAATTATTTTGCAGTGAAAACCGGTCAATATTTTTTTTTCATTAGACGATCATTTATTCTCCATTAAATAAGACTACATGAAAAATCGTTATGTTAATCGTTTAAAAATAATTAAACAAAATAGTTCAATTAAAAAAATTATCGAGTCATTCTATGGGGGAATCGGAAGATTTTTTTCTCATGAAGAAATATTTTGCCGATTCACGGGCAGACTATCTCGGATATTTCCAAATTGCATAATTAATAATCTCGTAACCCATATAATTGTAATAACGTATTAATTACAGCCGACAATTGCGTATCTTTCAAGGTGGCTTCAAAGGGGACGTAGTGCTGTGGTGCAGGATGTTATTACCGATGGCAGGCAAACGAATTTACAATCTCCAGAGTAAACAGCTCATCAAGCTTTTTTCTCGTATCCTTCGCCAGGACGAGGACGCGATGCTGGAGGATCTGGAGCAAGGAGACGTTGCAGAAACAATATCAACATTTTTTGACACTAGCACAAATTCCCGACCATGCACTAGGAGTCAACTGACGTTGCAAGAGGTTCCGCTAATTTATTTCTAGTCATTTTCAATTCACCTCCTGTACAGATAAATCTGTACAGGTTCCGATTTACCTGTGTCGCTTAAGGGAAGAAGTTTTTTCCAAGTTGCGGGGGTCGGACTAAACCCCCGACGGATTTAATGGGGGATTAGGGGGGAAGCCTGTACTTGATGACTAAAATGTTGAACCTCGATATTGCGCATTAGCATTTGGAACGGCTCTCTTCCTTCTAGAACATCTTCTCTTTCCGATATCAAACAAAAATGCAAAAACGATTCCATTGAATTCTTCGGAATTTGATAATGAATAATTATTTTTAACTGCCTGAATTTTCTGGAGTAACATGTCCCGATGTGTTTATTTATTATAAATTATTGTATAGGTAGATAAATTTCTGGAGAATCTGGCAACCCTGACGAGGGAAGACGATCAAGTATCCCATTTCCAATCCATCATTGACAAGTAAATTTCGTGAACGATGAAGTAATATTTGTTATTTAAAAATCGATCTGATTTTATATTTTTCAAATTTCAGCTGCACTGCAAACGATCTCAAGATGATAATCAGATTGATCAAGCATGACTTGCGGATAAATTGCGGCCCAAAGCACATGTAAGGATTCAATGATTTAAAGTCCGAAAATTTCTCCTTCATGATTTTTCTTTGCAGACTCGAGGCCATCGATGCCGATGCTTATCAAGCTTTTCAGGTGTCCAACAATTTGGAATCCGTGGTCAAACGATTTACTCGTCAGGATGGAGATCAACCGGGGAGTGATCCTGGCACATCTCGCTCACCTGTGAAGGGGAAAATACTTCTCTCGTTGATGACTCCAGTGCTCCCCATGCTGGTGGGTAGGCGTGTGCAATTGTTCCGACAATCGCACCCCATCGGGACTTAATTTTGTCTCATTAATTTCCTCACGCGAAACTTCTTCCCCAGGCGGAGGCCTGCACGTCCGTCGAAATGGCGATGAGGAAGTGCCCTAATGGCATGATGTCGGAAGTCAAATATGACGGCGAGAGGGTCCAAATCCACAAAAAAGGACACGATTTCAAATATTTTAGTCGGGCCCTGAAGCCCGTTGTTCCTCACAAGGTAAGACTCCAAATAATTCATGCTTAAAAATGAAATCCCCTAAGTCATACACCTGAGTTGTACGAGGCTGACGCCAATAAATGTGAAAAATGAAAAAATGAAAAGTGAAAAATAAAAAATTCAGAATATTCCCGGCGTCATCCGCGAATATCGCAAGTTTAGTTCCTCAAGCAATAATTCAACTGGTGACAAGTGTTTCGGTAATGTTGGCCTTTCACTTCCGCCTATCTCTTCCATTCGCTATCATCTGATGTCATTCCGAAAGATATTTACTCCATACGTGCCTCGGTATCCACGGATTAACCGTGGATCTGACCTGAACGCCCGAGTTTCTGCGATAAAGGGAATTAGTTGGATGATATCATCAAGAAAACTCAGTACATGCGGTGCGGAATGAGTTTCTCAAGTTATGAACAATCACAATCTTTCGTTGTTCTATTGTTGTTCGAGAACTTATGCGTTTCCGTCGGGCATTTCAGGTTTAAGGTTCATTCAAATAAATAAAAATTCTCCCGATTTCCGAAACTTCTTAAATTAATACGCATTATTTTTATCATCTATCATGACGTTGGAGGTTGAACGATCTATGGAATTTACGTCATGTGTAATATTTCATGATGATTTAGCGTGAAAGACAATGTTTTGGAGGTGACGAGTAAATTCCCAAAAGTGAATATATTTCCGTAAACATTCTCCACAAATTCGGGGGAAATGAAAATTTTATATTTCAGGTAAGCCACTTCAAGGATTACATCCCAAAAGCATTTCCGGATGGTGATGATTTGATTCTAGATAGCGAAATTCTGTTGATCGATATGAAAACTGGACAGCCACTGCCGTTTGGTACCTTAGGGGTGCATAAAGTACGTAATTAATTATCTGAGTCTCTGGCAATATGAGATATATAAAATTCAGACTCTCTAGATTACTGGGGATTTTATTACTGTACGTTTTATGTTGTCCAGAAAGCTCAATTTCAAGACGCGAAAGTTTGCATCTTCGTGTTCGACTGTCTGTATTACAACGGCGAAGTGTTGATCAACAAGTGAGTGATTAATTACTCTAAGGTAATTGTAGTGGACATTTTTTAATTTAAATTCCTCTGCAGGACTATGAGAGAACGACGAGCGATATTAAATAAACGGATGACGGTGATTCCGAATCGTGTGATGCTTTCAGAAGTTGAAGAAATCAATGTGAGTCATTCGCGGAATTAATTAAATTGAGTAATTACTGACTTCTGATATTTGTAGGATTCAAAAGATCTGGCAGAGATGATAGCTAAAGTAATAAAAATGGGACTCGAGGGTTTGGTCTTGAAGGACGTGAATGTGAGTGCTCTTTATTGACGAATTATCGTAATATTTGTTGATGGAGTGAATAAGCTGTAGAAAATTTTTAATTTAATTTCCTTTAATGAATTTTATTTGAATTTTTATTATTTTTCGTACTGGTACTTTAGAGTACTTATGAGCCAGGGAAACGCCATTGGCTAAAGGTAAAAAGGGACTACTTGTGCAACGGAGCAATGGCCGACAGCGCAGATCTCGTCGTGCTCGGCGCTTGGTACGGCACCGGCAACAAAGGCGGAATTATGTCGATTTTTCTCATGGGATGTTACGATAAAAATCGCGATAAATGGGTAACTGTTACCAAAGTTCACGGGGGTCACGACGATGCCACCCTCGCCCGACTCCAAGATGAGCTCGACATGATAAAAATCGGCAAAGACCCCAACCTGGTACCAAAATGGTTGATCGTTTCCAAACCGATGGTACCGGACTTCCTAGCGCGCGATCCCAAGGTACAACATTTCCCCGAATTTAAAATTTATGCTAAAATTAACATAACGATCACCTGAAATTTGCAGAACGAATAGATCTCGCCTGAAAAATTACCAGTGACTGGAATTCCGATTCTCTCTCTAAATATCCGATAGTTAATTCCAGTTTTGAAACGATTTTATTTTGTTAGAGCTCCCCGCTGATTTAATAATTTTTCTATATTGTTTTTAGACCGGACAATGAATAAAACGCGTTTAATCAATTCGGACGTTGAATTCCCCACGAAAAATCGGTATCAGCAATATTTTTCGATGGTAATTTTTCAGGATTATGTTCGCTCATGTCGAGACTGATGGTGTTCACTGGGGTTTATTTTTTTGTCGGGAATACAATGCATAAATGTATATTTTTCTAGAAACAACCGGTGTGGGAAATAACCGGAGCGGAATTTACGAATCAGGGGGTTCATACGGCCGAGGGCATAAGTATCCGTTTTCCCCGCGTGACCAGAATAAGAGATGACAAGGATTGGGCAACAGCCACATCCCTCGATGAATTACGAGTGCTTTTCAAAAAGCGCACCGACTCCATCGATTTCTCATTATTACTCGGTAACACGAGTGACACGAAAAATACAAGAAGTAAAAAAGTTAAAAAATTGGACAGCTACAACATTAAACGAACGAAAGAAATTAACGACGGGACTTTGGCTGACGATATTAAGCCTGATGTTGGAATAATGGATTATGACGTAAAAAACGAGAGTGCACAGACCTGTGGAGAATGGAAAAAAAATGATAGCGAGGGGAGCGATAATGCGGTTTTTTATGCTTTCCTTAATAATGATGTAAGTTGTGTCTGTGAATAAAGAAAACTCGATGAAGTTGTTCTTGAAATGTTTTTTCTCCTCTTTTTCAGTACATTGAGTACAGCGCGGATGGGAGGCCCCTCAATTGGATAGAGGGCCGTAAACCAAATGAAGGCCTTCCTCGGGGTGCAAAACCATTGTCTGAGAGAGGCCCTGCGGAAATGGTGAGCTTTACCACAGAAAAACTTCAACGCAAATTAACTTTAAGAAATCCTTATATTTCCACTGCAATACCTCATATTTATTGTACATATATAGTATATAAATAAATACAGAATACCAGGCTCTCAGGAGAATAGATTCCTGACCTAATACTTTACCCTCTCTTTTTTTTTAATGGAGCGAAATTCGGACGCTCCTCTTCGAAGTCAGCAATCAATTCATTCGAGAATAATTAACTTCCACTCATTTTCTTGAAATTGTGAGTCTCTCATATTCTCCTGGCTATCCGGAAATGTAATAGGAAAGACTTTCAATGTTGCAGGAAAGGAAAGGAATTCTCGGGAAAGTTCGAGCTGTCATTAGTAAGAATATTGACGAAGAAAAAAGAGTCGTATTGTCACGCACTCTGAAAACGTATCCTTTTGAAGAATAAGTTGTCGAATTGAAAAATTGAAACTTTATTGAATATTCGGAGCAATTATGCGATTAATCGATTTCAATAATTTTCATGATTCATTTATTTCGGCGAAATTCAATTTATTGTTTATTGAAATAAAAAATATATATGGACGTGTTTAATCGAATTCTCAGGAACTCTGAAAAAATTCCTCACAAGTTTCTCATATTTCAAGCACGAGCTGGAAATCGACGGAATAAATTTTTCTGAGCCCGTAAGAGCACCTCCTTTTCTCCGGAAATTTACTGGTAATGACATATTTCCTGTTAGTAATTCTCCTTTACGACAGGAAACGATATCCCACGTATACCGCCGAGGCTAAAAATTTTACGTTATTGCTTGTCTCGAAATCTTTCCACGTTTAATTATATCGGAAAATAATTCAACTTGTAGCAGAGATGCAGCTGGACTCAGTGACTACGATAAAACGATTAATGAAGTTTAATTGGTTTAATTTATCCTTCGCCTGACCGAACTGAGATTTTCACTCCTTTATTAATTACTTTGGCCTTTCGCGCTCGTGGTTTATTTTTATACATACTTTTCCCATTTTCAAATTACCTATATGCAGCGAGAAAAAAAATCTAATTTAAAAATCCCACTAATTTTATTTTAATATCTCATTGGGATTTCGGTATCCCCTTTTCCCGGGCTGCGGGCAAACGTTTTCGTTTCGAGTCCCTCGGGTTTTCCGGCGGATTCCACAAACGTCTTAATGATCTTCCGTTTTTCCTAATTAGAACGAATAAAACTCTGTGCCATTCTTCAATTTTTTTTTCAACCCCTAAATACCCTCTGGAGACATTTTTTCCTTGACCGACGAATTGCAGATTGGCAGCTGCAGTTCTGGAGGACTCATCCACTCGATCTGAGGTCACTCATGTAATTTACGACAGAATGGAAATAGATGAAGGGGAGCTGAGGGTAAGTTGGAAATGATATGACATTCTGTGAGAGTGCTCCATAATTAAGTTGAATGCAAGACCTAACGAGGACATGCGACTAATCTCGGAATTATGGCGTCTAAAAATCATAAGAAAAAAAAAAAAAGATGGAAAAATTTCATTCAAAACCAATACGTCACGCAATTATTAATCGTGAAGATAAATTTCATTCAATTTCATGACGAAACGACTTATACTTTATCATTTATTTATTTATTTTCTTCCTGTATTTTTTTCTCTCATTGTCAGTCCGTATTTCACCCCCTGGCCCCCTCATTGTCCGAAACACGGAGTTCCTCTTCGATCTAAACGTATTAGCATCCACTACGATAATCACGTTTTCCCGTTTACCCAAGTTTAATCGTATTTGTCGTAAATGTGTCCACGATCAAATTTTCCCCGCTATCTGCGGTGGAGTTGGAAATCCCCGTGTGCATTACAGAGCCATTACCCTGGGGCACCAGCCAAATGCGACAAATCATCAAAACCTTTCGAGAAGAAGTTCTAATGGTCAATGTTTTACCCAACCATTGTCATTTTAGGAGTATGCAGCACCCTCAGCACTCCGAGTTAATTCATCCTGGATAGAATCTGTTGCTTCATCTTCTTGTAACCAGGACGAATCACCCCACGTCGTAACACTCTTGGCCATTCGGTGTCACTGCCCGTGCACTTACCATTGATGAAACTCCAGGCCATGATAAAAATTGAATAGCAGGTGTTAACGTCCTTTTTTCTTATTTCTTAAAGTCCCATAATCATGCAAATCCCGTTGAGTGAATTTAAACGACACTTTTATCTCCCATCAAAAACCAACGCACGTTTACAACTTTTTGTCTGACTTCCCGTGCCGCATTCCTGAGATTTTTATCATGTACTTGACAATTCATAATTTTCCGCAGAAATAACGTACAATTGTTTTCCTCTTCATGTCCACCACATGACCCTGTCATAATCAATTTTATTTACACAGTCGAGCTCCAGGAAATCAGAAATACAAGTGGGAAATCTTATATAAATTGTGAAGCTGTCTGGATATTCCCCCACGTCTCCAGAGTCCTGGCTCCGGTGGTTGGTTATTACCCTCATAAACTCAAATGATCTCCATCAACTTTCCAGTAAATGATAAATCAGTATTTTGTCGTGACTAATCCAGAATAATTGTGCCTTCACTTGTAATTTCTCAATAAAACTCCAGACAAAGTGAAATCAGGGAATACACAAAAAATAAAAATGAGATTGTGCTGTTGAAACATGATTTATTCCACCAAATTTTTCCAGTGAGGATAACAATTGAAAAAAAAAAATGTGCTGGACCCCGTGCATGGGGATGCTGATTTCAATCAAACAGTGGTGACGATGTACAATGGAATGATCAACTGTGCTTGTTTAACATTGTTTTTCATTTAGGGCTCTCCCCACGGTGTCTGTTATGGCTAATTCATTTTCGATTTTCACCTGCCCAGTACTGAGTTATTTGATCTAGTAGTACGAGTGCATTATACAGAGGAAGTGTTTTATTAACGAATTTACATTGATTTTCACCAGGAAGTTAAACATTAACACTAATAAAATTTCTCTGTACGTTATTTCCTCTCGAATATTCGCCCTCATCGATATCTCAGGTGCACGCAATTGAACGGAGTACGAAGAATTTATAATTGAATGGTTGTACTATAGGGGTGAGATTGGAAACTGGTGGATCACTCCATTCAGAATAAAAACTCTTCATTCCAAATAGGTGATATTGATTCGATAAATTCCTCCGTTATTCTTCGTTCTACGTACGATCGAGTGTTCAATCACATCAATAATAACACTACGTCTAGAATTAGGGGCGAGAGGAAAATCAAAGGGATATTTAAACGGGCTTTTTATTTTTAGAGGGAAAAAATTACTTGCCGAAGCAAGAGACTGCGTTGAAGGCGCATTGTTTCCAGTATGTACGTTTGCGTTGGAGATCACCGATGTCGATTTGATTGTGGAGACGTTTTACCATTTGCTTCGTGAAGAGGTAGTTTATTAGGGCTGTGTCCATACTCCCGTCGTCGTCCACCAGCTGGATAATATGAAATTGCATCATGGTTCAGTCATATCAACCCTGTTTATCATGAAATACCTATTTGTGCATGATATCTCATATTTCATTTTATAAGATTTGCCTGCGGGAAATGAAATGCAATTGAATTACAACAACTGTTACGAATTGTTACGAATTGAGTTGAAGTATTGAATATTCGATGTTGTCAATCTTCTGCGATTTTAATTAAATGGAATTTTTTTTTAATTAAAATTGAGTCCTTTCAAAGATTCTATTTTCTTTGAAATTACGGGAGGTCATGCGACAATTGTTCTACATTTTCAATCTTGAAAATTCAAAGGGTCGCATATTTTTTATTAAAATTGAGTTCATTCGGTCGGAAAATCATTAAGATTTCAATAATAATTTCAATTTTTTACATAAGTTTAAAAATTCGAGTGATCAGGTACATATTATTATTATCAATAGAATTAACAACTAATTTTTAATTTCAAATTGAATTGAGTTAGAAATTGGAAAGCGAGTGTAGAGACTGTTAATTAATAAACAACCGAAAATCCATCGTACCATGCCGTTTGTTCAGTGCAATCGTTTCCCCGTGAATAATTACTGATTAATTCTGAAATACAACGAAGGAATGAGGTCTGAGCTTGAACGAAGGCACATCCACCTGGCCAAACTCGCTATCTTCTTTTGATCAGTGAAATATAGCTTCATTAAACCATTGAAACGTTATTTCCGTCAAAAGCCGAGATATCTGGGGTGTGGTGGAGGTGGTGGTGGAGCTTCCGCACTGTTCGTCACACATTCCCTGCGTATCACATGCCCATCGGCCGATAAAAAAAGTTTATTCGTCTGTTAGAAGACACTCGAATAAAAAAAATACATCCGGAGATGATGCTCTTATCGACGAATATTTTTTTTTCAATTAGAGACGTTTCCATCGGCCTCTAGTTTTCTTTCGCTTTGACCATGTCACCACCGGTGACAGAAAAAATACGGGGGAATGACGGAAAATTAGGACGGGGGGTGGGGGAGGGGGATTGATGTCGTTACGTGTGGTTGGGTGATTTATCTCGAGGAATCCTCAATCATGATGGGATCTTTCATCAGCGGGAGAATAGCGTAATCACGATTCAAGATTCCGATTCATCTCCTTTTGCAGACGATTGAATATTTTTCACTGATATCCCGCGATGCAATCGGCTCTTTATCCGTCAGCAATCTGCTCACGTGAACCCTATTTTGTTCATCAATTTTTCAATACTCAACTCGGTATGCATTATGCACAATAAAAAATAGTTTATTGAATTTTTATTAAAAAAAATTCAGCTACATATGCACCGAATCTGGTATATAACATCTGTTGGCGGGCTTAGCTTTGCAATTTAAATGACACGAGTTATAATACTCGCAATCTCGCGCTTCAGACTTTACCAACAAAATTATACAAACGAATCCGCAGGGATATTGGAGCTCGAACGGGTACCGGTCAATAATCGAATCGAAAATTGTACGGCGCGAATAAGTCTTGACATCTAGGATACTTCAACGTGAAGATGATGGTTCTGTCACCTCAAGCACTCAATCGAGAACAAACTTGTCAGACTTCTGTTTTATTTTGTTGTCACCGTTGCTCATAGTTTCCTTTCAATATTTATTTATTTATTTTATATCACTCATGCCTCCGGTAAAAAGGATAAAAATCATCAAGAATGTCAGGCAATTCTATATATTTGTTCACATATTTTTCTTAATATGATTTTTGTCTCTTCTTTGGTCGCCATTACCTGGGTTATCACGTCATTTTCCTGGAATATTTTCTCCGCGATTTATATACTCACGTCTAGCTCGTTGAGGAATCTTTCTTTGTCGGTTGGAAGGCCTGAAGACAGACCGATAAAGCAAACCAATGCCACTGCGACATACAGCATTTCCCGCGAGAGTTGCATCTTAAATCTGATAACAAGAAAACAACAATTCTGATAAAATTTCTCTTTTCAATTCGTTGAATTTTCACATTTCAGCATCAACTTATTTTCATTCACCAGTTCCACGTATATTTTAAATATCAGGACTGATTAATGAGTTTCAGATAGTCCTGATAGTCAATCAAGAACTTTAATTGAACGTTAAAAGTCCAATGATAAGTCAAAAAACTAATTTTATCTTGCGAGTAGATCAAAAATACTGTATTACGGGCCATTACAGCTTTATTGTCTTTTTCTACTTTAATCATAAAAACTTTGTAACTCTCTGTGGTTCTTTGTACATCCAATTTCTGCCTACCTCCGGGTTCTCCCATAAGGAATAGAATAAAATGTAAAAGACCGAGTGAAAAAATAGAAAAAATATCACATCAATCAATTTTTCTATAAAAAATCAAACTGAAAATATGAAATTATACACGAAATAAATTATTTATGAAGTCTTCAACTTTATTAATTGTAAAAATATTATTCCAACAAACCGAACTTTCTTTCCATCACGAAATAACTTTTACTCTGCGTTCATTCCATAAACATCCGGAATTCCTCCCAGCGGCGACGGCCTTCCAGAAAAGTCAATTAACAAATGATAAAAAAACGTTGACGTTAGTGACTTTTTTCTTCCTAAAATTGGTGGGAAAATGAGACATCAAGAGGTGGAGCTATAACGATTGCCCCGGGAATGGTAGAAATCGACGATTTCCAGTTAATGTGTCAACGGATATTACCGACCCCGCAAAACCGTTAAACGAATTCCATCCAATATCATAGCCGTCACGTATGGATAAAGTCTCATTTGTTTCCTTAATTTAATCTTTGTAAAGCTTGAACAGACGCATCGTCGACATCATGGTATTCAATATCGCAAATTGTGCGCGTCATTACGTAAAAGTTAATAGCACCATATGACTTTAACTCTCCGTCGGATAGGTCGTGCGGAAAGTAATTGTAAACAGGATGTGAATTTTCTTCGTCTTTTAATTTTTGAGGTGTCAACTTTATTATTCCGGACATTGTACCCCTCACCCGAGGTAAAAAACTTTCACATTTTGAATTTCCACTTCAGTGAAATAAAATATCACTTCTGGAACTATTTATTTTTTATATTTATTTTTTTTACATCCGTGGAATCGATTAAATCTGTTAAAAATTTTTGATAATTATTTTTCTTTTATATTTGAAGTGATAGATACAGTGAAATTATTCTGGCAATCTCATTCTGTCTTCAACTCCTTCATAATCAAAAGGAGAAAAATATTTTTAAGTCGCTGGTTCTGGGAGATCGAAATCGTGTGAACGGTATTGCCCGCCTCCTGCATGTCCTGGCCCGATTTATTCCAGAATCAGGGATTCCATAATTTCAGAATAAATTCACTCATATTTGAGTTGAAAAACTTCATTGTTCAATCACTTTCACGAAGTTATGACAATTTATTCGACAGCCCTTATTCACGGATACGCTTTTCACCGGTTTTTGGATTATCGGTAAAAATGTCGTTGGTAAATCGATTGGATTGGATAATCTTCTTGATGACGCTGAGTATAACGATACAATCAGTGTAATCCCTGTGACGTGGTGAACCGGCTTTTGACAAATGTATTAACGATCAAACAAAAACGACAGTTCGAAAATAATTGGTGTGATACATCCGTATTTATGTAACGCTGATCGTATCGAATTGTGTATAAACACGGTAAGACCTCGTTATCGGTATTAAAAAGTCATTTCAACCCCGGATTATCGCTTTATAATCCTCGTTTATCATACGGGTAAGGGGAGAGGTCCTGTGTCGTTTACCTGTCGAGTTATTCTTGACAATGTCACTAGAATGCAAGTCTAGTTTCATGAGCGAGAAGAATACAAACACCAAATGAAAAATTCAAAAACATAAAGAATTGACAAAAATTAATTGAGGGAATTCGATTTTCTTCATTTCAAAGATGGACTGCAATTAAATTACCTATGCAATTTATTTTAATTACACTTCACTCTAAACATATCAATTCAAACAAAATGGACAAAAATTTCGCTGTCTCTATGAATTCCAAAAATATTATCGGAAAAATCAGATAAATTGTCACGTCTTTATAGAAATATTGTAAATATATATTTAAAAATCTGGATTCAATTTAGTACCTGATAATCGGTGCAGCGATTTACGAAACAGGTGGTCGTCAGGTCTGATGTGGTCGGGATGAATCTACTTCGGCTGATGGAGAACGAGGTTGTACTACTAGTTTTATAGTCAACGGCGATATGACTTTGGTCTGTGGCATGGAATGACTTTATATTCTCGTGGAGGTCCTGTCGACGCATCCCACGGGAGTTTCGGTGGGTGGGAGAACCCCCGACTGGTGGTGGAAACCCACCAGAAACCGCCCAGATTGCCCGATATTCCGGTGAAGCAACAGGACGACAAGTAGCGCACAAGTGTCCACTTGAGTTATTTATTATAATCAAACAATTAATATTTTTATCAACTCCCCTATTCCACCCCTCCGAAAAAATGTTCTCTCTATTGCAGAATAAAAATCAAAGAAATTGAACAAAAAAGGCAAAACGTTTACTATTTTTATAATTGATTTTATATTCCCTAGGCATAAACGTTTGTTATAAATATTTTCTTCATAAAAAAATTAATGGCAAATTTACAGAAAGAGGAAATTCCCGGATATATATTTTTTCCTCCCTCAGGAACATAATTGAACTGGAGCTTTTCCACAAAATTATTCCCTTTTCATTTTCTACTTCAATGTGTTTCACCTGTAGATCAGGAGATCGCATATCATCTGAGTTGCGCAACAAATCCCGCCACAATTCCCTGATGACACCTGGAAACATAATTCTCTCTACCATTTGATCCTTTCGTAACTGCCTCATCTAGTTTAAATTATGTAAGGCTGCTTCGCGAAGTTGTACGCAAGGAGGCAGGGATGAAGGGAGAATTATAACTCATCAAATAATAAAAATGTGAGATTTTCTCAGCCATCCTTTATTACTGGATACAAAAATTGTGGGTCTCCGGAGATTTTCCACGATTGGACATTGTTACGAATATTTTCACTTTGGTGGAGCAGCGAATCGGGAGTGCACCCCGAGGATTAAAAAAAAAAGGAAGAAGAATAAATAGAAGAATAAGTAAGTGACTCACAAATATGAAATAATGAAGTTTTATCAGAAAAATAATTAAATTATTTCTTTTCTTCTCATTCACGGTATAAATAAATTTGAAGAAATTCATTGAAATTTTCTTATGGATTTGAGGAAAAAATGGCGTATGGAATGCGGATTAAAGGACGAATTAATTGAGGTGCAGGAGAATCACAGTGAGACTCATGTCAGCGAGGAAAGGCATCTAATTGCAATGTTATTTTCATGTCACGTGAATACACGCAAATCCACAGTAATCCCTGAAATCGTTGCCATCAGTTGGTGCATGTCTTTCCCAGAGAAACAATTTTCACCGTACATTTGAACAATCTAATCCTCTGTCAGCTTCGAAATTCGATACATTGTCCACTGGTATCTCACAGAAGCCCTGAAAACTGATCGCTGATTGCACCTCTATGATGACAGTCCAAGTAATGACGTTAACAAGCAGATGATTTTTTTATTTTATTTGCAAACGTTATCTAATCATTTGAACTCTCCGCCAAATTTCGTGGACCTGAATTTTCAATTTTGGAATAACAATTCATGAGTAATATTCATGAGCATAAAGAAAGAATTTCTCTATTTATTTTTCAATTTTCAATAGTTATATTATCGTTTTTTTTTATTATCGTAACCAACATCTTGCAGGAAAAAGTTTTGGATTGAAATATTTGATATTGATATCAAAGAGTTTTTTTTCCAGAATACTTAAGTGGATTGCAAATGGTTTTTTATTTTCCTTTTTTTTCATGTGTACTGTCGAGAATTTACTGAAATTTGAGTTTAAAATTTATAATTAAAATTCAGAGATCAATGGAAATTTGAAATTAAAATTAGAGAGTCATTAAACATCAAATGGAATTCCATTTCCGAGAGATTGAAAATTCGGATAAATGATTGTCTGAAATTCAAGTGGAAATTTAATATAAAAAAAATTGGTTGTACGCATCGAATGGGACGTAACAATCTGAAAACTCTCGGGAAAGCGTAATACGTCGACTTGACTACTGAATAAAATGGGGGAAAATTGTAGTATTTCCCCTATCTCGGGGATTTTCCAAAATCTCTTTAGTCCATTCAACTGTATGTATTCGTAAAAAAAAACCAGTCTTCACTGGCTTGCCATTTCCTCCCCTATCATAAGGGTGAAACTTTCATAGACCTCAAGCTCATCATCTATCCTCTCATCACCAGGGCTAAGTCATCTCCAGTATTCCCAGTGTACAATATCGCACTTTCGTTTCGGTGGGAACCCCTAAATTTCGTTACTTCAATAATTTATGAGTGCACACGGGTTTTCCGGGGAGGGAAGCACGTATTTCCACGAAAACTTTGCTCACGAATTCAAATACTATATTCGCATGAGCTAATACCACGACAGGTCATTAGAATACATTTTCCATACCAAAAAATATGGAGAAAAATATTCCGTTCAAATGACGGAAAAATTCACGTAATCCGCAGTAAAAAATTATTCCCCTGAAATATTTCTGCGAATAGGAAACAATAAATCTTAGAGGTTCAATTAATTATCAGGTAGAATGAAAATATTCTCGACTTTCTCAACAGATTTAACCGAAGAAGTCGAACTTCACTAAAATTAATTTGCCAAGCTGATGAGAAAATTTTAATAACATTTTGTTCTATCATATTTTGAATTATTTTTTCGCTCATTAATATTTTTAAGAAATTTTACGGCCTTTTACGAAAAAAAAAATTGATGATGGTATTAATAATTATTAATAAATTCTTATAGTTAAGCTTTATATGATATGAACCCCCCACAACCTCGATCAGTAAAAAAGATCAAAGAACGCATACAAATTTAGTGTTTAGCTTTGGTGATATTATCCTCAGATTACAGTAGATCGGATTGTCATCGGGATATTTATCTGATAAGTCTCGCTCAGCCGATATAGAGCCTCTCAAAGCGGTTCAGAGTGACTTTTTTACCCGACTGTCGATAAGATCATACACCGGAGCTTGCGACATGCTTTCTCCTTCGGATCCTATCAGCAAGCCCTTCATAATCCCGAGGAAAAAAAAAATTGGGTGAACAGGGTAGACACATCGTCCCCTAATTTTTTTGCTCCGGATATTGGAGAGTTGATGAGGGGGTGGTCAAAATGTGTTCGTAAGATAAATATTTTTTTTGTAACACGTTTTAATTGGATAATATCGAAAAAAAACACTTGGAGAAAATAACCTCCGGTAATTTATATTGGAAATATTTTCAGAGAGAAGAGAATTCTAAATTTGCTGTTCCACTTGATTTTTCTACAAATAGAGAATTCTTTTTTCTAGGGAGAAAATGTGATTTTCAGAGAAGTGTAACATGACAATTTTATTAATTGACGAGAAACGTTGAGACAATATTTAAAGGTGTACTAGTAAATCACTCGTTTTTTGTAACGGATCGAGTTGAAAGGTCAGCGGGTGGTTGAGTGCCAAAGTACTCTTGAGAGTTTTTCTCCCTGTGTTATGGATTTCCCTCATAGTTTTCCTCAATTTCCCATCGGCTTTTCGTTGTCCGGGTGTTTCCATCACCCCTGTTTTGATTGACTTTCAATGTAGTGTGGGTGATTTTTGTTGTACCTTCCCAGTCAACACCACGGATCCACAGTTGTTTAACTTGAATAATATTCTTATTCTCGCTCCACCGGACGTCATTTCTCTCTCGATTCTCAGTTGATGGTTTATGGCGAGAGAAATTTACGGCTGTGAAACTATTTCAGGAATGGATATGGTATCAATAAAGAAAATCATAAGAAATCAACGTCATCGCATTTATGGGACAAACAGATAATAAAAAGATCATTCATTTTTTAAATAAATATCCAATAAGTGCCTCTCACTAAATCGCAGTAATTGACTTCTGGCGGAGCGAGGTCCTTTTATTTTTCATTTAATCATCTCATTATCGATTGCTATAATGGTCAATTAAAATTAGAATTTTCCTCGTGATTCCTGGGATTCGTATTTCCTCCCAATAATATTATTTTTCTAGACTTTAAGGGGAAAAATAGGGGCAGCCCTAGTGCTTGGTTAAATTTTACTTTTGTAATTGACCTTTTCACTCATCAAGAAAACTCATTACAAAGCTGATTAACGCTCCCACGTCTTTCACCAAAGTACCTGACGTCCGTTTTTCACTGAAGGACAATACACTGCATAACGTATTACTCGCTAATTAGTGTCTTAGTACGTGACGGCGGGATTTTCCAGAGCCTTTGAATTCCTTTAATTAAATCGAGCCGCACCTGTTGCCCCAGTGATTTTTCTCCTTTCATCGGCAACTCCTATGGCCTCTTTCCACCTATTGATAGCCCTCCATTTATCATCGAAGACGGATAAGTTATCACCGGGCACTGATGCCTAAGTTTATTGAGCCCATGTTAGATATAAACAAAAAGTTGATGGGTAATTATCGATATTTTAGATGGATCATGAGTCTCAATGAGTCTCGGAGGAATGCCCTGTAAATGGGAATCTAGGTACATGTCATTTCATGTATATAATATACAATGGATTATATTTATCAGCTTTTTTAATTTATCTGAAGATATTTTAGAGAAAGATCGGGAAAGAACGAGGGAAAATATTTATCACTCAAGAAAATTGAAAAAGTTTTGGAATTGTTTTATCTCGAATGAATCTCTATAGATTGATGTGGTTACCCTCGGGGTAATTAGGATTGCCATAAATTGTCCTCGAATAATGTTGACAGACTTTAAATGGGTACATTACGGTGGGGAATCATCAAAGAGAACCATTACTCAGTTTCGAGTCAGCTGTGCGCACTGGATTATTGTGGGGTGAATCTCTCGGATTTATCACTTCCATTTGGGAGGAGAGGAAACAGGTGCTTTCATAATTTTCGACCGGAGACATTCCAAATACCACGTAAATCACTTGAATCACGCTGAGATATTGACCTGTACTACTTGTCACGGAGATTTCATCCGTTTTTTTGAGAAGGGGATCATCGGCTTGGGATTTTTATTAATCTAGCTGAATATACAAGAAAAATCTTTCAATCAGTGGTATGTGAAAAAAATAATATCGTTGAATAAAAAAATTATTTCATTAAAAAAAACATTTATCACAAATTATTTTCTGAGGATTATGGAAAATGAGGAAAATTCGGGGTTCAATTGAAAATTCATAGCTTTTTGTATTGACTTGTACTACTCGTCACACAGATTTCACCTGAAAAATCCATTTCATTTTTCAATTTAACAATTTCGGAAATATTCTGGTTCTTCCGTAATTAATCATGAAATGGCCATGATTTTATCGATGGAGATACTTCTATATTATATATTGGCACGCATTTTTAAAATATATAATGTATATCCTGTTTGTTCGGACAGGCAGTGTCACCTTCCAAACTCAGTCTCATATTCACGGAGTGAAGAACTAAGGTCTAGTTCAACTGCAACCGGACAGGGTGTAATGAACGTTGTTACCTAACTCCCATAATTCTGTGTTAACTAATAAAAGCTTGGGGATGTTGAAAAAATTTACTTCTCCATATGCTGGTTTCCCACATTAATTCCTCCATTTGCTGTCAACTTTTCTGAATTTCCTAGGAATCATTAAAAATCGTGGCTATTTATTAAACAATTATTCAGATATATTTATAAAAAATACTGCATAATTCAATCGATCATTTCAAGCAATTGCCGGAATTGGTAATTGTTTATTGTTTCGTCGGCGGTGAATTCGGGCAATTGTTTAATTGGACACTGGTTGAAAAGGCGTATGTGGTAATAAATATTTTGGTAACTGTAATTAATAAATAAATCAGGAAAAAATCAGGAAAAAATGAGCGCTTGCGCGTAAACCACCCCTGGGGGGTGCTAACTGAAGTATATAGGCAGGTGGTACTCTACTTCACGCATCACATCGAATCTCAACAATGCTGTTGAAAGCTGTAGTCAACTATTCCATGTGAATTTACCGAAAGATATCTTGAGAAATACTGGAATTACTGCAATCGGTTCATCGCGTGATCACTCGTACGATCAATTGATTTGGTGATGATAAAAATCCTTTTAATATCGATTTTTCATGGGTGCGTGAAGTTTTTGGAAAACATCTTCTACGCGGATAATTATTTTTACGGCAATTCCTACCGATTTGTTTGCAATTTATAATAAATTCCGGAAATCCAGAATTTTTAATTGATTCAGTAGAAATTTCATTAATTCAAATAATTTAATTTAATACTAGTTTTATCCAGGAAATTTTGCATTGAAATTTCCAACGCAATTTTGTTTCATCAGTTACAGAATTTTTGGTTTCGTATATTTTTGGAAATTTTAAAGAAAAAGTCGAATTTTTACTCAGCGATGGAATAATTCATTTTTTAACGGCCATGCTAGGTTTCAGATGAATTTTCAGGAATATTTCGCGGTGACTTCATGTTCTGATTTTTGGAATTTAATTTAGACATGTTTTCCAAAAACTGATGTGAATGAATATCCTTCAGATTTATTGATGGTAAATTGACGCACACAGAAATTGTTAACGACATGACGATGTCGTTGGTGACAGTTATTTTTATGGTGACCCTCATTGTCACCACAACTGTTGCCCGGGTGCTCCCGAAAAGGAGTTTATCGGATAATCTCTCCGAGTCATACGACTACGAGGATTACCCGGGAAAACAAGAACAGTATCCGGTAAGTTTATCACTCTTTTTTATCCCAGCACCTAATTAAATAATCCTGGTTCATCATGAAGAGAGAAAAAACACTTTTCGTATTATTTTTTTCACTTCATTGTTATATTTTTCAATCTTCAATATTTTAATCCAAAAATTTATTTCTACTCCACGCACAATTCTCTGAAAATTATAAACAATCGGTTTAATAATTGGCTTATAAAAATAAATATAAAAATGAAAAATCGAAATTTATTAATTGTCCGATAATTAATTTTCTAAAGATTTTAACAGGAAAAAAATAATAATGGGATACTTGAAAATTCCTATAATTCCTGGTGTTAAAGTTTGCCGGTGGATAAAATGATTGAAGTTCCATACAATATTAAATTCTTGGCTATCACTCCATCGGACTTTCACACCAAACGAATAAAAACCGATATAGAATTGTGTGCAAGCTGCAGTAAATAACTTTACCGGGCAATCCGGCCTCGGTAAACTTGGCATTTCCGTTAAACTGCCTTACACATCGCCTCTCAATTATTCACAAGTTCTCGTGTTATCTCGTCGACGCCAAGATAGAACTCCCTGTGAGATTGTTCGATTAATTATCGTTCACTCATTCATCTCATCAAACTTCCGCAAAATAACAGGTACTCTGGATGTTTTCAGTCACTTGCTCGACGCCTCCAACTGTGCATAAATGTTTTGTTGCGTGACAAGTAAATATCATTGATAAAAAATTGTTTGTCGCATGTTTATCCGCACGGAGAAAAACAATTTTCATGAAAATTGCAATAAAACTGATATAAAGCATTCGCTAATTCGGAAATAGAGGAATTCTCATTTTTTTTTTCATGGATTTTTCAGTTCATCATTTTTTTTATCTAGTCTTCCAATCGAAATGCTAGGGAATTTTCAATTTCAGCCTTCACTTTCCCTATGTCTACAGAGAGAAAAATTGAATGGGCACTGGAAATGCTTTTGCTAGTCGATTCTATTCACTGATTCCATTAGTTTGGCGCGAATTTGTTTAGCGTCGTAGCTTTTTCGAATCAGGAAAATTCAATAGAAAACAATCGAGCATTCGGTGTTGATACATCTAAACTACTTCCCATGAAACTCAATTTATTATAATTATTCGAAATAAATCATCCACTTGGAATTTGAATTATTCAGCGACTTGCGCGAAATTTTTCAGTGTGAAATTTTTCATTACGTAAAAATTCAAGTTCGTCGTGTAATTTTTCACTGAAAAGTGTGAGGCGTAAAATTATGAGAGTTTTCTGGTAATATTTTCTGAACTTTTCCCCTCGTGGATGTGACATTGAGCTTCGGGTCGTCTGGCCACCACCTCCCAGCAATTGCATTTATTATCGGGATATGTTCCTGGAATAATTCGATGAGACGATAATTGGCGGAATGGCGCTTACCGCTGCCGATCCAATAATATTTTTATGGTCTGGTGGAAATCAAAGTGTAATCCCGTTGACTCCGGAATATTACTCCTACGGAGAAGAAATAATCTGTGCCGTATTCACCGATGAGATCCTCTTATGAAACGAATTCTTTTGAGGGCAAAAATCGCCTCCTGCGACAGCAGCTTTTCCCTTATCTCCGCTATTTATTATTTTTCGGCCATTGTCATGTTGATGATGGCTCGTATCCCACATCATCAATATCTGCGCTGCGCAATATTTACAACACAATATTTATGCGCATTTTCATATCAACATTTCTGCTTTTTTTTTCATAAAAAATTATCTTGCGTTATTGATGAAAAATTATATTCAAGCTGGAAAATACATGGGATATTTTTTATATTAAGGGAGGTTGAATGTTATATTTGTAGAGCTCTTGATGTTTGATTTGTTAACGATTTAAATTCAATTTTTCCACGACTCCATAGATGATTTACTTCGTAATGAAATTGTGTTGACCATAACGCAATGAATTTCTGTATTTACCTCCGGTCCAAGACGTCTCCATTGGGAAATCATAAAACCTGCAAAACCAATCCTAAAAAATATTAAACAAACTCACTTGCGATTGTTTACAGTCTGTTTTTATTGCAAAGCCCCTGTGAATTACAGATGATTATCGATATGAATTCTCTCAGTAATGATAACTCAAGGAATTTTGTTTTTACCGCAAAAAAATTATAAATTTCATAGAGCCTTTATGAAATCGTAACAATTTAATTATTTTTTACTCTCTAAATGGCATCAAGTATTTATTCTGCAAATTAGTTCATCAATCCATTCAATGTCATTAAAAAAAAGAGTGCGATAATAATTTCGAGATCGGGAATCTCGATTGCACTTGACAGAACATCATCTACGACCGGGATCATTATTTTTATCGTTTATTCATCAGTCCCCTGGCCTCCTGCAATTATCCTTGTTTTTCTCGTCCCGACGGAGAGCAAATCACTCGGAAAAATTGAACGAGTCGATATTTCGAAGGCTTTAAACACGAGTCGTTGAAGATAAAATATAATATTCCACTGACTATATCCGAGGAATCAGCCAATTCCTCTCAATAAACCGAAAATAATTGCTAAAATAATTTCCACGTTATCCGAGCTATTTTTCATTTGGAGACATCGATTTGCGAATATATACCGATAAATCCACCCGATTTTCAGGTAGCAACGAAAAGGGCGGCCCTCCTCCTCGACAGATTAATGGTAGCCCTCCAAAAAGCTGTTGATGAACAGGGAATAGGTGATTCACGAGGTGGAAGAGATATTCTGAGGTCTAAATCGCGACTGGGAGGTACCATCGGATCGCAATCAGGACCGAGTAAATCCGGGGTACGAAGGAATCACTAATTACATCCCCTGGAGAATTGTCTTCCAAAAAAATTATTTATCTCGTCAACTGATTTATTAATCGAGGATGCTGTTAATATATTGAATATTACCATTGGATCTGGCGTCATTGATGGATAAATTGGACATCAAAGAGTTTAATTATTGAATTTTCAGATGGATTTGCAGAGACGAGGACCTGTCAACGGCAGCGTCTACTGGCGCTGCTATTTCAACGCCGTCACATGCTTCAAGAAGAAGTGATAGATTAAAATCTAGGTGCCAAACGACTCCTCAGTTCTTTCATCATAATCGGCTATCTTGTCAACCTCGATACTACTCTCCGGCGCGTTTTTCCTAATTAATACTCTGACATTAACTGTACTGGAAGTTCGATTGACATCGGTAGCGAAGCGGTAACACAAGTTCAAGCCGATTCTCCAGGAATCCACGGGAGATAGCGCGATTTTTGTTAAGACCTTTTTTGTGGAGCTCATTGAGAGCTACAGAAATGGTTATTACAACAATTTTCATATCTCCTGAAGTTTCGGAGATATTCTTGATGGACGGGGCTTACCACTTCACTTCGATTCTCAAAACGAAGAAGTCTTCCCAATTTGTTTATCGTAACTCTTTAAACTCCGAATGGTAAATATGTAAACTATTTTTGCTAACCGATATTAGTCCTCACTGACATGAGGATGAGGATTTTATTATTTATGTGACAGTCTCCCTAATTAATTTATTAATTTCCGAATGGGACTAGGATCGTGAAATATGGTAATATCAATAAATAACAGACAACTGTTAATACATGTATAATTGGTAAATTCTTGAAGAAAAATATGAGCACAATTATTGACTGCACTGCATCTTATATTCTCAATTATTAATTCAGTTATTAAAAATAACCATAAGAAGACGCTGGAAAATTTCCAAACGCATAACAATATTCCGTGAGAGTTTTTATACATATTTCATTTCGAGAGGCGGAGGAATAAAATATATCTACTTATGCTTGAATAAAACGTTTTTTTTAAATCAACGCACGATTCCACAGTTCTCTACTCGGTTGCTGACCACAAAGCCCTTCTTCTCGTTTATCGAGTTACAGAACTTGTCAAATGACTTTACCACATTTTCTAAAAGTGCAACAGAATATTCCCGAAGTAAAATAATTACCTACCAGCGAAGTGCACTAGTCCGTGGATTTTTAAATTGAGACAACGCTTTTATCCTAGATGAAAAATAAAAAACTGATACCCCGGTGGGTATCAATTTTATATTGTGGGTAAAAATGATTTTTTCTTTTCTGAGTATCAATGAAAAGCCACTGAGATGCTTCCGTTTGAATTCCACTAACCCAGATCGGTTGTTATGTTCTCTTATCGGCGATTTTTTATCAGCCATCATGACGATCAACGCTCCCTGATAAATAAGTATCTGACGAAATACCCGTCGATTCACAACTCTACCATATCCTCATACCGAGCTATGATCAGCACGCGTATAAGAACATTAGTCGTCTTGTCTGACAAGTCAGTATCGCTTGATTCTCGAAGGCGAAGTCATTATCATGGCCATGTACACACGTCCATTCAGTGTTCTCCTCGTGTTGTGTTATCTGTTCACGTTGATTCGGACAGGAATTGTCCGGAGGACCGCCGAAGGCACACCAGATCGCACCTGTGGTTACACCGTAAGCTCAACAGCTTAAAATTACCGAATCACATTACCACACGAGTGAAAAATAGTACAAGAGAATGAAAACCGATTTCTCCCAAGGATTCATTTACTCGAGATAAGTATGTATTTTTTCAAAAAAATTATTTCTCCAATTGAGTGATTCCCGGGCCATTCCGATTAGCTTCCGATAATAATCGTCGTATTGCTTTCAAAAATGATTGCGTAGCACACGTTTTCGGATAAAATCCACTGATTATTATTCATGTTTTTTCATAATTCCGAGAGATTGATAATTATTGCGAGAGTTTATTCGAGGTCATGACCAACATAATCATCCTCTAGAGAATATGATTGTTATTATGGACACCTGGAGCTGCCTCACCTGGAGAAATTAAATTTTTATGAAAACACGTACTTCTCCGAAATTAATAAATTGTTGGCGGAATTTTTCTGCTCAGTGCACGCCCTGAAAAAATTTTTCACTAATGACATGATTTGTATTACACAGGGCTGTCCAAAAACTCATCCGGAAAAATTGAACGTTCATCTTGTTCCGCATTCGCATGACGACGTGGGATGGCGGAAGACCATTGACCAGTATTTTTACGGATGTAGGACAATTTTTTTATCAATAATCTCAAAAAAAAAAATTTTCATCTGAAAAAAGGAGAAATACCCCAGAAAATTCCGAATTCCGTGAACTCCTCGAATAATAACATCAAATTCCGTTTATTGACGAAATAGTATCTTGAATAATTAATCAACAATGAGTGACTTTCCCCAAAAAAATAATTGAAAGACACTCGTAAAATTTATTACAACCCGATAAGGTCAGGTGACAGTTAATAAATGATGAAAAAACGTAGTAATGACGATTGCCCCTCGTTATCATTAGCTATTCCAAGTATTTACCTCACAATATAATTATTTGAAGCCCGACAAGAAATACAGATTGCGAATGTCCAATCGATCATCGATACGGTGATACAGGCGCTGAGGAAAGACCCTGAAAGAAGGTATAATTCAATCGTTATCGATCCACTGATTACCGTATTTGATGAGTCATCAGGGCCATTGGGGGCTGATAAATGGGTAATTGACGGCTACATGACACTTGTCTGTTCCGAAGATTCATTTACGTTGAGACGGCATACCTATGGAAATGGTGGAACCTGCAAGATGCCGAAGTTCACGACGAGGTGAAGACGCTCATAAAGGAAGGACGACTGGAGATCATCGGCGGTGCCTGGAGTATGAATGACGAGGCCACCACTCATTACCAGTGTATCATCGATCAATCCACTTGGGGATTCAGGTACATCATCTTCAATATGGAGATAAATATTCAGTAGATTGACAGGAAAAAATATATATTATGAATTATTTCTCGTTTGCGGAATTTATGGGCGATTCTGGTCGGCCTCCGATAATTATTATCGTATTTCTTTAGAAAATTATTATGTCGTATCATGTTATTACTATTCATTTTCTTGAAACACTGAATTTTCGATGCAATATTGATAACTTGTCAGAACGTTTGTGCCTCGGCATAATCAATGTAATCATTTTTTAATTCTCTGTTTAGTGAGCGGGTGTTTAATATTTTTTCTTGGGATTTTTCCTTTATTTATCATTTTCAGACGATTAAATGACACATTCGGGGAATGCGCGAGACCGAAAATCGGTTGGCAAATCGACTCCTTTGGGCATTCGCGGGAGCAAGCATCTCTCTTCGCTCAATTTGGATTCGATGCGATGTTCTTCGCAAGACTCGACTGGGAAGACAAGGAACAACGCTTGAAAGAAAAAACCGCGGAATTTGTGTGGAGAGCGAGTCCAAATCTGGGTACAGACGTTCGTAAACCTGTCTCCGTGAAAAATAGTTGTTAGAGAAAATTTTCCAAACAATTCATTCAATACTGACAACTATTTTTCATCCCAATTATTGCAATGGAACTGTCTTTTTCTTAACAAATGTAATATCCATTACTAGGTGAAAAAGTGAATTTATTCTCAGTGGCATTATATAATCATTATAGTGCACCCACTGGCTTTTGCTGGGATATGCTCTGTGAAAATTTGCCATTAGATGATCAATCGTCGAATGGCACCAAAAATACTGAGAATAAGGTAATGTATCGAATTTTATGATACAGAAATAAAAAGATCCTAATTACAAGGGAAAAATCATTGCATGAAATGAACACAAGTATTTTTTACACAAGTAAGCACTTGAAACGCGCGATTCTTTTCGTGATTTTTCTCTTGAATCAAGGATTTTTTTTCTCTCTGCGGATACAAGGAAAAAATTGGGGATTTTCTCATCAGATCAATCGATTCTACAACTACGTGATGAGACAAGCGTCGCATTACCAGACGAATAACATAATTCTGACGATGGGAGACGACTTTCACTATCAGCAGGCGGAGATCTATTTCAGTAACATGGACAAATTGATTAGGTCTGAAATAATCATCAATTCATATCAATGTCCATTGAATTTTTATTCATGATTATTCATGAAATTTATTCTCAATTAATTTTTAATAGCCGATAATTTTTTATTTTTATTCCTATACCTCGAAGATATACAAACGAACTCTACGGCAAGGAAATTAACGTCTTTTACTCAACGCCTTCGTGCTACGCAAAATCCTTGAACGAGGCGAATAAGACTTGGACGACAAAGTCCGACGACTTTTTTCCATACAGTCACAACGAGCGCTCCTTCTGGACGGGTTACTACACCTCCAGACCAACGCTGAAGCATTTCGAAAGACTGGGGAACAATCTCCTTCAAGTAGTGAAGCAGCTGTCGGTCATGTCCCATCACCCAGACAGCGAGAACCTGCAGATCTTCCGAGAAGTGATGGGAGTGATGCAGCACCACGACGCGATAACCGGCACCGAGAAGCAGCACGTGGCCGAGGACTACGCCAAGTTCTTGCACGAGGGAATAACTCAAGGGGAAGCTCTCGCCGCCAAGTCCCTGTCTCAATTGTCTTCCAAGAACGAAAATACGAACGAACCCTTCAAAACTTGTCTATTACTGAATATAAGTGCATGCGACCCCTCGGAGGCCTCCTCCACGTTCATCGTGACCCTCTGGAACCCCCAGAGCCATCAGGACTCACCGTACATTCGACTTCCGGTCATCGGAAAGGGTTACGTCATCAGGGATCCCCTGGGAGCAGAAGTTCCTCATCAATTGATTCCAGTTCCAGTTACAGTTTCGAAAATTCCCGGACGCAATAGCAGCGCCACTCGAGAACTCGTATTTCGAGCCTCTGGGATTCCCCCGCTTGGCTACAAGTCCTACCACGTAACGCGACGAGAGGGCGAAAATGTCTTGGATGAAGTGACTCCAGAGGCCGATGTCACGTCGATAGGAGTAAAACACAATATCTCAGTCCATGATAACGGAAATGTCATAATCGAATGGAAAAATCAGGATCTGAGGGTCATTCAGTCTATGAATTATTACAACGGGGGTAAAAGATACTTTTCCTCCGGAGCATATCTCTTCCGCCCTCAAAATTCATCTGCCTACCCCTGCAATTATACTGGCACCTACAAATTTTATCGGGGATCTCTCGTCGAGGAGCTGCACCTTACGGTCAACGATTACGTCAGTCAGGTGGTGCGGGTTTATGATGGAGAGGAGAGGGTTGAGGTCGAGTGGATGGTTGGTCCCATCCCTGTGGATGATGAAGTGGCGAAGGAAGTGATCGTCAAGTACTCGAGTAATCTTGTGACCAAGGGGAATTTTTATACCGACAGCAATGGTCGGGAGATGATGAAGAGGGTGAGAAATTCAAGGCCAACGTGGAATTTGAGTATTTTACTGGAGCCAGTGGCATCGAATTACTACCCGGTGACGACGAGGATCTCGCTGCTGGATGAGGGAGGAAAAATGAGGCTCAGTATTTTGAATGATAGGGCACAGGGGGGCAGCAGTATCAATGATGGTGAGCTGGAGCTTATGCTGCATAGGAGACTTCTCAGGGATGATCAGCTTGGGGTTGGCGAGCCGCTGAATGAACAGGCTTTTGGCACTGGAGTCGTGGCCAGGGGGATACACTACCTCGTGGGTAGCAATATGGAGGAACGTGATGATGCTGCTGGCAAGGAGAAGACGCTCATGAAAAATCTTGCCCTGAAACCTTGGGTTTTCATCACTCCAGTGGAGAATGTCGTCTTCGAGGACTGGAAAAAAGATCATCAGATGGAGGTAATTAATTATTTTTTTTTACGTTTAATTACTTTATGATTACACCATCTCCGTGGGTTTAGTTCAGTGGATTGAACTCCAGACTACCGCCTAGCGTTCATATTCTCACGTTGGAACCCTGGAAAGACGGACAGATTCTACTCCGGCTGGAACATATTTTCGAAATTGATGAGGCGACGGAGTTATCCAAGTCTGTCCAGGTCAACCTTACGGTGAGATTTCTGTTTTAATGAACGTTTGAAAGAATTCATATTTTTTTTTTTTGGAAATTCCAATTCCATCGACTCCTGCAATTAATTTTAATTATTTGCGCTAACAATTCTTTAGGATCTCTTCGCGTATTTCACAATCAAAGAAGTTAGGGAGACAACTTTAGGAGCGAATCAATGGATCGAGGATATGCGTCGTCTGAAGTGGGTGATCCAATCAAATGAAGTTCCTGATCAACTTCAGGAGAGCGTAACTTTGCCAGTAAATAACGGAACAATTGCGATTCTCTTGAATCCAATGGAAATTCGTACGTTCATCATCTCGATTGAACAGAAATCCTGAAAGAACAGAATGAAAATTAATTTAGGTCAATTTTTCCCGATATTCTTGTAAATAAAATATGAAATAATTGAAGCTCACTCGTTTTGAGAATACTTTCCGTTTTACCTAACCCTCTCACAAACTTTCTCTCAAATCGGGGAGTGATTGCCGATGGAAAATGACACCTGGGCGCAGACATTGTTCACGATCACTCCAGAAGAGGATGGCTATCTCCGGGAGATCACTGATGAGACTGTTATATCAGCCCCAGAGGATCTCCCACTCGTTTTGGATACTGAAAATATCGCGTATAGGGAAACCCTCGTGAAAATTACCCGAGACTTCGTAGATCCGCGTGAGCTCGAGAAAACTGAGTTTCAGGAGTCAGAATGTCAGACGTACATGAAGGGAATTCCAAAGGTCGAGTACGTGATTTCCCACCAAGATGAAGCAAGTCAAACCCTCTTCATCGGAAGAAACTGTCCACCACCTCCTGGACAGACTGCGAGGCCCGTCGTCGGTGAGTCCCCGAGATCAAAAAAAAAAATTCCGAATAAATATTGGCATTGAGAAATTTAATTGATCTCCCCTCACTCTCAGATATACTCAACAAGAAAGTTCTCCCGAAATTGAAAAAGAGTCAGCTGGTGCAAACGATAATCACAGTCCTGGAAGATCTCCCGCAGACGGCATTCCTGGAAGGCCTCCTCCAAAAAATTACGGACGAGGAACAGAACGATCCTGAACTGATGGTGAACGCCACCGAGACCGAGCTAACGAAAATCGAGACCCTGGATCTCTTGAATTTTCTCCTCGATCGTACAATCTGGATCGCTGACACCACTCCTGATGTTCTCGTCCAGACTCGCGATATCTTGGTGGAAACCAAAATAAAATACAACGAACGTCTGACGGGTTTTATGATTGATTTCGAGGGGCAGACGAATCTCTCCTTGCAGCCCGCAAAATCCACCTCGAAGTTGCTTGACGATTATTTAAAGGTCAAGCACTTCGTCGAGGATGTTCTGGAGGGGGTGATGGATTCCGGAGTCCATGATCGGATATTCGTCGACGATTTCGTTGATGAGATCATCGATAGGTGCAGTGAATTCGTTCGTCTGCCCCTGAAAGACGAGGCCATTCAGACTTTAGCCTCCGGTCGACCCTTCGACGCTAAAGATGACGAGATCCTTGAGACTCTCAGGAGATCCGTGATCGCGGACCCGGTGCAGACTACGGAGATGGTCCTCCCAATAGTCAGTCATATTTTGGATAGAGTTTCAGAAATAGTAGCGGTGGACTCTAGAGCTGCTGCACAATTTGTCGTGGACAAAGTAGTTCATAAAGCCAATGCCATCGGAAAAAAATTGTACGACATTAAAAATGCTGGACGGGGTAGGTCTGATTTTATTTTTTACTCTCAAGTGATTCTGCTCCTCGTAATAAAATCGACGGTCAATTTATTTCGTGGGTATTGTCCGATTATTTTATGAGGTCCTCCAATCGACGAAATATTCGCCCTGAGGAGACGGAAATTAATGGTGTCGATGCCGAAGAAGAGGGAAATGGAGGATGCGTCGACTCAGACGGGTCTCGCTGGAGTTCCACAAATTCGGAAATTCCAGGAGAATAAAGAAGTCGTTTGTTGCGTTTGTCCGACGAATTCCAAGTGTCGCTGGTGCTCGGAAGAAAATACACCTCCGAAAGACATGAGGCCATTTCGAACACAGGATATTTTACTTGCATACAAACCGTGCTACGTGGTGATGGATCCTGGTGATGCCACTCCGGACATGAAGCGACCGTGCGCTCAGGACCCTCCGGTTCAGATTGCATTTTCCGATCACGAGACATCGACGGAGTTGTTGAATTCTTCTGAGCGATGCTCCTGCATGATCCAAACAGAGGGCAAACTGGATGTTGCAGGTACCAAATTATCCATTGAATTTGTAATTGATTTGTTTTTAATTCATTAGTCTCTTATCAATAATTGGCAAATGATAAAAAAAAAAATTGTTCATGAAATAATTCGATTACCGAAGTATTGCTCTCTTCGTCTCATCAATTTTCGGGACATGGAAATTAAAATCAATTCCAGAATCAACAAGTGGCTGGTCCCACGTGATCGCCACAGATGCGTGGCTCCTCCCCTCGACCCCCAGTCATCAGAGTAAATCGACAATGTCCGTGAAAATATCTGAAAGCAACTGCAAGTCCACGAGATCCCAGATCCCAATCCCAAAAACTACAATGGAGGCCCTGCAGGTTCTCAAGAGTACATTCTGCAACCGCGAAACTTGTCCGGGTGTTTCCAGCATCGAAGATCCGAACCGTATGCCCCAAGAAATAGTCCCAGGAACATCGCGAAAAAATCAGAACGTCGTCTGCACGAACTACCCTCCACCAGACAGTGATGAGTGCATTTGCGATTATTTCAACGATCAAATTCAAAATAAATTGAAAATTCTGGAAATTCAATTGCAAATAAAATCGAAAAAACCTGAACGATAAATAACGAAGACCAAATATAATAATGACAAATTCCATTACATCTTTTTTTATTAGGTTTATCCGTTACTATTATTTATTAATGTTTTTAAATACATCGACAAACATCACAAAGACAGAAATGTAATTAATCATTCGTTTCACATCTATTCCAATGTGCTTTTGTATTTTCATAAGTATGAAGCATGAGATTTCTCGATAGTTAAATGCAGATATGTCAGGTCCTCACTCGGAGGCAGAATTTGCTGAAATTTTTATGCACATTTTTGTGATGCTGCTGAGCAGTAAAAAAATCTATACTGTTTACAAATGAAAATATTTGATGTCATTGAGCAGACAATTCCATATTTGGCATCAAGTCTTACAATAAAAGAATTTTCTTCTTTTAAAAACACATCAGTCGATTTATAAAACATCAGTCGACAGATATGAGTAAGAATTGCTCATAAATACTTAAAAAATAGGCATTTTTATTGTTTGAGAATTTGTTTCTTCTTGAATATCAAAGGTGCTCGTCACAATGAAAATTAACGCTCATCGAATCTATTGACACTTATCAGCACACCATTAACTTCATTATACTCTATTGACACTGATAACTCTCGAAAAAATATTATCATATATCCTGTGATCAGGCAAAAACTCATTTGTACCATATTCTGATTGTGGTCAAACATATCCAGATGGATAAAAAAAAATTTGTTTTCGTTTTCTGTGACGATAAAAAAAAGAGAGAAAAAAATGAAAATTTCCGCCCAAAAATACTAAATCCTTTGAGCTGCGATAAACTCCACTAGCTCACATCGTCAATTTTCGGCAAAAAATAACTTATAATAATAATAATGCTAAATAACGTCTGAGTCAAGCCCACAGTGAGGACTTCCTGAGATTAAATCATGTGAAAATAAAAAAAAAGTCATCCCGAGAATACCAAATAATAATGAGAACACCATTTTTGTAAGCTAGATATTGTCTAATTTTAATTCAAGAATATTTTAACCCAATGGAAAAATAAATATTCGAAATAATCTCCCAGGACATTATTAATCCTCTAAAGTTTTTTTTTCATCGAGAATTCCCTCCCTGTAGTACCTCAACTCTTCATCAAAGCCTCTCATTCTCATCCTCAGTTTCACTCTGTGCTCCTGTTTTTTTAACATTGAGACGTTTCGCCTCGTCTTTATTGACTCCATTGACTGCATCAGGATTGGCATTGAGATCATTCCACGGTTGGATGCTGGCAGATCCGAATATCCAGAAGAGGACAGTAGCAGAGAAAAAGACAATAGCTGAAATCCAGAAGATAATCCTCCACTGGTGAACACCACTTTCGTCGTAAATGAGAGCACCAACGAGCGGTGGAATAATAAATCCTGGAAAACTACCAATGGTATTCATAATTCCATAAAGAGAGCCAGCATAATTTGGAGCAAGATCTTGATGATTCTGGAGATTGGTCTGACATGCAGCTCCATTGAGCGTCAGTGCGCCAATGATCATGATTATTGCTGTGTTCTTATCACATCCCACGTAAGTTGTGATGAGGAGTGCGAGGCCAGGGCCCACGTGGGAGAAAATCATGAAGAGTTTTCTGATCCACACGAGTTTGATGATTTCCCTGCGTCGCAGAAAATCACCACCAGCTGCAAATAGCACTCCAGCCCCCAGACGTGCGATGTAGGGGAGTCCTGTCAGAAAACCTCCTTTCTTCATATTGAAACCCAGAACCTCAAGACTGTACTTTGGACCATTCGTCGAGATGAAATAGATGCCCCACATGTTGGCAAAGTGAGCGTAGACGAGGGCCAGGAATGGTAGGGACGTCACCATGTGTCTCAGGGGAAGGCTGACCTTCTGTTTGCTCACTGAGGAGCCTATTTTCTCTTTGATGTATGCCTTCTCCTCGTCAGTGATGGTGGGGTGGGCGTCTGGGGTGTCGTAGGCCAGCCAAATCCACAGGAGATAGAACACCAGCATCAGACCACTTGTTGTATAGAAAGCTGCCTTCCAGCCGAATGCCGAGATAACTGCTCCACACAGCGAGAGGGTCACAAAAGTACCGAAGGGGCCACCTTAAAGAAACATTTTTATACGCGCGTGAAAGAATTCTGTATTGTCTTCATGTCGAGCTGGAATATATCTGTGTCAATAAAAAATGTTTATCTGGTTGTATAAGTCTGATGAGGAGATGGATTTCTTGAATAAATAATAAAAGAATTATATAATCGAATGAGAAATTCCTTATCTCTACTTTCGATAATCCCCAGTCCTTATCGATTTATCAAAATATGTGGGATATCGCGTTGTTGGTGGTGGAGGGATGTTTTACCTTGCATTGTCCAGACGAACATGCCCTTCTCCTGAGGAGGTACCCATCTGGCAATCATTGCGTGCAATGCTGGATAGACAGCGCACTGAAAAATAAAAACGAATGTTTCCAGTTACACCCCGTAATCTACGGGTCAGTTAAATCAACAATATGAACGTCATTGGGCTGAGTCCACTCGGTCCAATGCACTTATGAAAGTGGAACACATGAATTGAGAGTATTTTTATCTCGTTGATTCAAAATTATTGAATTGTTGCATTGAACCTTGTTTTTCCCTTATCAAAAATTCGTAAGGAATTCTGAAATTATTTACAAAAATCTACTCACTCCGGAGAATCCCATCAGAAAACGGAGAATTATGACCACTGACCAATGAAGACCAGCAGCCAAAGGTGTCAATAAATTCAAAACAGCTGGAATTAAAGTAGCCCATCTGTTGGAAAAAAATGTTGAAAAAATTCTTCAGTTTTATGGTCTCTTTGAAGAAATAAAATAGTCTCACAAGTGACGCACGTGATAATCCAATAATTATCCGTAAACAAAAAATTCAAATATTGTATCATGAATTAACATTTACGCAACAACTCGTGCACCACCGAACTTCTCAGCCGCCATCCCAGCAGGAACACTCGCTAAAACCGGTCCCACAAAATAAGACCCCAGTACGAAGCCCTGAATCCTCTCGTTCCATTCGAATCGCTCTCCAAACTTTGAATACAAATTTTTTCCATTCAGTATTCAATCGAAAATGTGACAATAAAATTTAATAATAAATATTATTAAAAAAATATGCATATGCAAGTGCACGTGAAACATGAAAAAATTTAATTGAATTCTAATCGAATTTTAAATTAGCTTTTGGCCGATTAGTTCTACGCAATTAAAATAAAAAGATACTCACGTCCGACATATTTTTGGGACCCGAACTCATATTTGCGGCCTGGTGAAGCAGTTCTGTGCAATAAGGGGCCTTCGCAGGACCTCCTTTAACGCTTTTAACCATCGCTACTATCGTGATTGATAGATTAGTCCGGATAAAATACGAGAACATGCAAGCCATAAACATGAGAACGCCCAAAATAGCCCTCCTGGGTAACTTGCGTCTTAGCCATTCTACAGAAAAAAAAATCCATAATAAATCCAGTGATACCAATAACAATTGATCGCAAATGTTGCAAGTATCTTAACAATGGAGTCTATATCAAGAACGATTGACGGTAAAAACTGGTCGGCCCTGAGTCTAGGAAGTATGAAAAACCAATAAGTCACATAGACAATGCAAATAATAAATAAATTGAACAAATTTATTATTCAGCTTCGATTCTAAAAAACTTGGAGTATGATCTAAGAACGAATTCCTTCACGATCTTGAATCCTCGGATTTTTTTTCTTCGTGTAGATAATAATCACACCAATGTCGTTTAATTAATTTTTCACTGCCGGCTACTATTGACACTGGTCATTAAGCTCAATTTGATAAAAAATTACGGCGGGTTGTACTTCCCACGGGTCAATGCCTCAATAAAATGCCCCCGTAGTAACAATAGCTGAATGAATTCACTCATCACCAGGAGAATTCCAAAACATTCCATTGAATCATTTCCCCCCGGGTTGAGAGGATAGAATCGCAGCTATTTTTTCTCGATCCTCTCAACGAGGGTAAATTGGGTTGCACCCAATTTCAATCACTGGTATTCCACTCATCTCAAGCCCCAATAAATTTCTCGCGATAAAACCGGACAATGAGCATTTACTCACTTCCCGCGTGATTATCACCATGTGTTTTTTATTCGTGAGAATAGAACATAAATAGATTCACGATTCACGTGCGTCCACTGGGTGGTACGTGTGGAGAACGCGCGCGAGGACGAGTATTTTAATTTTCAGTAATTACTCATTCCAGTTTGAGGACAGTTAGTCGTTACCAAGGCCTTCCGTATTATTGAGGAAAAAATTAATTTCATATTATCTGTTTAATACGAAGACACGAATTTCCATCAATTTGTTTTCATTCACTGTCTATTCCAGAGCACTCAGTGGCGAAAGGTAATCGACAACAGGTATTCTCCCCTCGATTTTAAAACCGTAATTTCTCGGTGAAAAAATTTTCTTTACAATTTCCAAAGCTCAATACGATTTATTTGATCAAACAATTTGAAAATCTTTGAAGTATTTTACTTTGCAATTCAATTACTCCATAAAAATTATGGACAATCGAAAAAAATCAATTGGCAACAATTGTCGCCGAGGTGTCGAGTTTGTGGGGAAAACGAGGCCAAATGAGATTTTTATCGATGAAGAGGTGCCTCAAGACATGCAGTCATTTTACATTTGAATCAGATTACTCGTTATCAGTTCCGATCACATAATCCAAGTGGATAAAACACGAATTAATAATTGTGGCGCATAAAATTCTCCAAAATAATTGCTTTTTAATCGCTGTAACTATTACGTAAATTGAACTGTTGATCATGAAGGTTCATTGCGAGATGCATTTACTACGTTGCATTAATCAGACAATCGTGTCATGAGGAATATAATTATGTCACGAGCGGCCAATGTCAACTCCGATAAAGCCAATACGTTTGACTACTCTCAGAAATTTAACAGCTGATTATGATAATGTATGATTGATAGCATAAAATGGAAGATTCGTATTCATACGAGTGTTTTTGATGGCCAGGAACTTTCTAGTTAGCAATTCCCCTTGAAACCCCCTGAAATTACATTCGATTGTACCCGAGTGGTCTCCACCCACTCTAGTCCATCCAATTTGTCCCCGATCATGCGAAACACCCGTCTGAATTGAATAAACCATCCGGAGTGTAATGAAAACCTATTAGCAGCGATTTCCGTAACATTCTCACGTATGAAACAATCTATAAAAAAATCGAGCGCTTTCTCTAAAAAAATTTCTACAACAATTCTACGATAATTCATGCCCCGATGTGACGTGGGTCACAAAATAAAAAAAAAACAACTCACCGTTGAGGGCGATGGGTCCCTTGCAGATGCAATCGTAGAAAGCCATTTCCTTTTTTTTTTTATCAATAATTCCACTGATAACCGAGTAATCACCAGGTCTTAGGTCAATTCCCGGCCGGCACGAGCTGCGGTGTTGGGCCGACTGACGCTTCAAATCAGTACGTGATAGCAACTAGCTCTCGTTTATTCGTAAATTGCATCATTCCCCTCATTCGGCTCATCACCAAGTTGTCGTAGGTAGGTATCTCACACCCCTTTTTCAACAATTCTTTTTCCCAACTTTTTTATCCTTCAGCTGGGAATCTATTTAACTCGTGATGGTTTTGACCTCTTCAATGGGAAAAATAAATAAAACATTCGACGGAGACTCGACTAAATTTGAATTTCTATATTTACAAAACGAGTGGGGGCTGTTGCGTAATTCCACGTCATATCTCGAGTCAGAGTGAGAATTTTTCGATTGATGGGGTATTTCCTGGGGTAACTGCATTTATCATTATTTATTTATCCAATGCAGGGCACATCGAGGTTGAGGAAAGAATGTCAAGGAATCGCGGTTGTTGCCGTTTGCGCGTAGATTAAAAATATTTTGTTTGAAAATTATTTGGTTACTTGACAGGAATATTTACATCGATTTCTTAATCTATAAGGACAATATATGATTTTAAGATTGTCAGCAAAAGCCTTGAATTATTATTTTCTAAAAGGAATAGTTACTGAGAGTTTATTCAAGGTCATAGCTATTATATTCATCTTCTAAAGGAATATAATTCTCGTAATCAATACATGATGGGAATTCCCTTGAAATAAAATGATACACATGACCAAATTTCTATTGTTAGCAATATATAGAAAATATATAAATAATTGCTTCTAAATTTATTTAGTGGAAAGAATTCTGGTATTGAGATATTGAAGATTTTTCTCAAGGGAATCGATATTTAGTGAAAACTATGGGCGTGAGGAAATGTGTCCTCATTTCATCGGATTGAACGAGGATTTGAATTCGATTTGCCCTTCGGCCTCAGTCGAGGACGAATTCATAGTAGTTTTATATTTTTTCATGTATCATGCACGTAGCATCGAGACGACCCGGATAAAATTGGAATTGATGCGGTTGGAGAACGATTTGTCATATGATTGTATCGTCCGCAGTGAATCCATCTTTTTTTATCCTCAATATTTTCCGTGGAAAATCAATTGAAAAACGAATGGGCAAAATAAAAGAATATTTCAAAAGGCGTACAAATGAAAAAGAAGAAAAAACATGGAAACAAAATAATTGAAGGTCTTTTTATAGAACTGCACAATTCTTCAATTCAAACGTTTTTGAGTTCAATGTCATACTGAATTACTATACAAATTGTCAACTATTCATGAATTTTAGGAATATCATGTGCAAAAGGAAATAGATAATAATGATTTGTAGAATCCATAATTTATCTGTAATTACTGACGTTTGTTTTTAATTTCATTTTAAAGAAAAATGCCAGAGGAATCTTTATAAAAATAATTGCCCGTAATAATGATAATGGGGTATCGATCAGGAAAAAATTCCAGGTCTGTCCTCTAATTGAATCCTGAAATAACCGCGCACATTGCCAAGCTAACCTCAAATAGCCTATTTTAAACGAGCAAAAATAGGTCGAGAAGGATTTCTAGATCAATGACGATCGAAATCGATCGCAACGGAAGGGTTTAAAATCGTAATCTGATCCCGCGTCTTGTTTGATTGCTTTCTAAAGACGATGGAAAAAACTAGTAGTCGGAAAATTAATAAATGATTATGGGGGGATGGAGATTTAATAATGACTCGACGAAGGGGCACGATTGCTATGGAATTCAACCAATTAAAATGGTATGGAATGTAGGTATTCAAAACTTACTCTGTGTTATGAATTAGTGCTTGATCTGTTGATTATTTATAATGTGCGGATCCAATCCGTCGACTGGCGTTTTTTAGGAATTCGAAAATACAGTTCAATCATCGATTATGCAAAAGTGCTGCCAATGAGTGTTCATATTTGCCAGTAGATGGCTGACTCTGGGGAAATTATAGGGATATTCTAGGGGAGAACGGGGTAGAAGATAAGCGGGTAATTCACACTGGAGCTGGAAGCATAAAAATTCAGAAGGGATTCACTGAAATTTGAAAATTCGATATTTTTGAAAATGTATCAGGGGAGCATGGAAATGGAGGAGGTATTCACTGAAATTGAAAATTGACGGGCTGACACCCCCATTGTGTGTGCCTCTAAAGTAGAACCACATCTTGTGGAATTCCAATGAAAAAAAATGATTCAATATGTTGCAGATATACCCCTAATAAAATTATGTTTTTAGAACGAGCGCGTTGTCTATATGGTAACGTGCTTGCCTACCACGCCGACGGCCGGGGTTCGATCCCGCCATCATTCATTTTTTTTTTATAAATAATTCCATTTTTATCTTTTTTAAATGGCAAATCAATCGAAAGATCGTTTAAAAACTGAATTTTTGAAAATCGAAAAGATATTCAGTGAAATTGACAAATTAGCAATTTTTTAAAACGATACTTTTGCAAAATATATACTCCTAATGAAATTATATATTTGCAATAATCCGTTATCCTAGCGGTAACGTGCTCGGCTAGCACGCCGACGGCCAGGGTTTGATCCCGCCGTCATTCATTTTTTTTTTTAATAATTTCAATTTTTTCTATTGTAACTGGCTAATAAATCGAAATATTGGTTAAAAACTGAATAGCTCCTCGATTGTCATGTTCCCCTGATACTTTTACAAAAATTTCGAATTTTTCACTTGCAGTGAAAATTTCAGTGAATAGCTCCTTGATTGTCATGTTCCCCTAATACTTTTACAAAAATTCCGAATTTTTCACCTTCAGTGAAAATTTCAGTGAATAGCTCTTCGATTGTCATGTTCTCCTGATACTTTGACAAAAATTTCGAATTTTTCACTTTCAGTGAAAATTTCAGTGAAGAGCTCCTCGATTGTCATGTTCCCCTGATACTTTGACAAAAATTTCGAATTTTTCCCTTTCAGTGAAACTTTCAGTGAATAGCTCTTCGATTGTCATGTTCTCCTGATACTTTTAGAAAAATTTTGAATTTTTCACTGGCAGTGAAAATTTCAGTGAATAGCTCCTCGATGTTCATGTTACCCTGATACTTTTTCAAAAATTTCGAATTTTTCAATTGCAGTGAATACCTATCGAACAAAAAAATTGGAATTATTTAAAAAAAAAAATGAATGACGGCGGGATCGAACCCTGGCCGTCGGCGTGCTAGTCGAGCACGTTACCGCTAGGCTAACGGACTATTATAATAATAAAAGTTCATTAGGAGTATATATTTTGCAAAAGTATCGTTTTAAAAAATTGTTAATTTGTCAATTTCACAGGATATCTTTCCGCTTTTCAAAAATTCAGTGTTTAAACGATATTTAGATTGATTAGCCAATTAAAAAAAGATAAAATTGAAATTATTAAAAAAAAAAAAAATTAATGATGGCGGGATTGAACCCGGGCCGTCGGCGTGGTAGGCAAGCACGTTACCATTTAGACAACGCATTATTCTGCAATTATAATTTCATTAGTGGTATATGTGCAACATATTGAATAATTTTTTTCATTGAAATTCCACAAGATGTGGTTCCCCCCTTCCGCACGTTCTACAGTCGGCTAAATTTCAGTTAAATAAATAAAAAACAAAAAGTATTCACACCGCAGAAAATAAAATTCACCCCGTCGACTTGATAAATACCCCAGCATTGCAATAAAAACTTGGTTAATAAAAAAAAACACCCCAAGATTGCGTGTGGCGCCCTCCCTCTCTTGGGATGCAGTACTACGATGCAGCTGGGGTCACTCAAACCCCCAGAACTGAGCCTCTACTTTACTCAATCCTCTTTGGTTCATCTGCTCTGTTGTTCTTTACTCTGCGTCTGTTCTCTCAAAGACAAAAACGACGCCGTGCCATTTTTTTCGTGTTATTCGTAAAAGTGAATTTTCTTGTCCTTCAAACGGCTTTCGCAGTGGTACTGGAGGGTGCACTGCCTTCTACGAGAGATTTTCCTGGTTCGAAGATTATTCCGTCGATAAAGTGAAGATAATCGTGCCTGAATCAGCACCGTAGTCAATAATTGCGTCAATTTATTGGATTGTTTAAGTTTTGGTGTTCTTGTGTGATAATGAGTGTGTCTGCAGTGGATAATGGACAGACGGAGGAGAACAACATGAATAGCCATGGCGATGTGGGGGATGCCTTTGGTTATGGCAGGTGAGGGATTTTTTTTCAGGTTTTTCCGGATTTTTGAGGGCTTGGAGGGTTGATGGAAAGTGTGATCTTGTTTTTCAGGAATACTGTCAGCCCTCAGGCTGCACCACTCCAAACAGCACCTACTGAACGGTATGCCAGTCATTACAACATGGGCCATGCCAAAAGGGGACTCGCTATTATATTCAATCATGAGTTTTTTACCGTGAGCCACTTGAAACCGAGGTCTGGAACAAATGTCGATTGTGAGCAGTTGGTTAATACTCTGAAGGATTTGGGGTTCGAGGTGAAAGATTTCCATAATGCCACGCACCGGGATATTGTCAAGAATTTGGAGGCTGGTGAGATTAATATTATATTACACTGTTAATGTTTTTACAGGTTTATTTTTTTGTCAGTCGTTATTTCCCATAATTCGTCTCTTGCAGTCGCTGAGAAGGATCACGCGAATCACGATTGTCTGATAGTCGCCGTTCTCAGTCATGGGGAATTGGGTCTCCTGTATGCCCATGACACGCCGTACAAGGCCGACACAATCTGGTCATACTTCACGGCTGAAAAGTGCCCGACACTAGCCGGGAAGCCAAAGATTTTTTTCATTCAAGCTTGTCAAGGAGATAAACTCGATAGCGGTGTCACGATGAAGGAGAGGACCGAGACCGATGGTCATCCTACTTCCACCTTCAGGATACCCTCGCATGCTGATTTCCTCATCGCTTACTCCACCATTCCCGGTAAGAACACATACAATTTAATTCATCCTTAAAATTATCTGTGCAGTTGTGAACCAATTAGTCACCGAAGATTGATAAATCGTAGTTTCCCATGAGTTTCGATTCGTGGTACTCTCGAGGTCAATGAACTTGCTCACCTGAATAGTGTATAGACATTCAGCACCTATGATTCAGACATCTATGAATCACCCCATGCACTACAATTATTTCAATCGATGATTCTATATTATTGATAACGTTTAAGTGTTTCCGCCCATTTTTTTCATTTAGAATTTTTTTTAACATCGGTATGAAAAAATAGCGCGATTTGATAAACTTTTTTATCTGTTATCATCAGGATTCTATTCCTGGCGTAATACAACTCGTGGCTCCTGGTTCATGCAGGCCCTCTGCATCGAGCTCCGTGAAAACGGCACACGCTACGATCTTCTGACTCTTCTTACCTTCGTTTCTCAACGGGTTGCATTGGATTTCGAGTCCAATACACCCGACAATATGACCATGCATCAACAAAAACAGATCCCTTGCATAACGTCGATGCTCACTCGTCTCATCAAGTTCACACCTAAAAATGGGTTAGTCAACGATTCCAGCAGACAGCAGACCATGACAGCAGATTAATTTCCGTAAGGAAAAGGCATCTACTTATTTCCGAATCGATCAATTAAAGTGACTTGTTCATGCATTTAATCAGTAATTAAACTTAAAGTTCGAGGAGTTGGTAGATTACACTGGATTTGATCTACTCGTCGATGCATTTAGACGTGAAATAAGGGATTGAACCGATTAAATTCATCCAAAAATACAATTGAAATTATATCAAATTGAGTGAACATAAAATTTCTTTTGGAATTATTGTCACCGCGAGACGGGACTGACTGGATTTGTAATTTTTCACCGATAGTGATAAATATTCAAGCCCTTATTTCATTCGATCTCTAAAGAAATTGCAATCGTAGTTTAAGTCCGTATTATTTACGGATAAAGGCGCTCGGGTTTTGAGCCATTCAATTATTAATTAATCGTATTATAAACTCGGTGTGATAACGATTTATATCGATCTATTGTGCTGACTAGCACAAAAAAAATCCTACCATCGGTTGTTTGCATTTATTTCCTTTTTTCATAGAAAATTGGCTTTAATTTTTGGTTGTGTTTCGTTCAAATTAATATACGGCACAATCACAAGCAACTCGTTTTTTTAAAATAAGTTCTTTTGATGAGTCCACTACGTCTGCATTTATTTACGTCTTACAATAGCTCAAAAAAGCGATGGTGGTTATTAAGCCTTAAAAATGTCTTTCACAGCGTTGAAGTAGGGAAACTTGTGATAATTGTACCATGACTGCCAAGGGGATTATCAATATTGTAGCTTTCGGGCAGTATAATCATTGAATGAAAAATTAAATTGTAAAGATATCATTCAGTTCGTCGAGGAATATTTCCGGTACAACTGAAATTTCCTCCATATCCCACATTCCAATATTTGATCGAATGAATATGTGATTTAATTGCGATTTAAAAATTTCAGTCCAGAAATCTAGCCACGATGGTTTTAACACTTTGCGGAATTGCATCTCTATTTGAATTAATCAAAACTCTCACGATCTGACATGAAAATAAATTGGAAATATCCTCGAGAATCTAACGTAGAAATTTTATAAATGTATTTTCCATATGGCTGATTGTACCGAGCTTTTTTATAAATGAAGTTTTCTATCACTTTACAAGTAAAAGTGGTTATTGTCAACTTTACCAACCTTTACTAAATTTTCCTGACTTTTTATTTGTGACCTGAGTTTAATTTTTTGGAACGCGCAGAACTTCCTCATATTCGATGGTGAATGATGGCCAGTCAAGGTATGATATAAATTTTATTAAAGTTTCGTATAATTGATTTTTATCGTCAAAGTAATTGAAGGCATGAGAATATTTGGAAGAATACGTTTTTTATTGATTATTATACTTTTAACAGGTACAAATGCTGTTTTTAGTACAAAAAATTGTCATTCTCACTGAGGCACTTGACCGGGTATGTTTTGTAGGAATGTCGAGATACCATTAGTCGCTGCCGGGGCTGTGAAGGGTCTTTGTAGTTCTGGTCGTCGCATCTGGTGGGTCATCAGGGCGAGGGGGTCGAGTGTTACCAGTGCCACTTGGTCGTTGCTTTCGTCCACGAAAAAGGGCTCAACAGTCTCACTCTCCATATGATTTAAAAAATCTTCTGATCGACTCATCGCTTGAGTTGGGGGCATGGGGGCCGTTTTATTTTTTGTCAGGAATTTTTTTAGCTTTGTTGTTGGTTTTTCAATATCTGAAAAAAAAAACTCAAAAGTGATGTAGTGAAATTGAATGAAAAAAAATTTATTATTATTATTCAGTTCCTGTATAATTTTTTTTTCTGGAGGTCAAATGGCTCTCATATTTTTTCCATTCAAGATATTCATACTCACGATTACTATGATTCATTGAATTATTCTGGGAATTTCCCACAAGTTGGCTGATAGGTTTGAATGGATTTGATCGGATTGAGGCTCTCGAGGGGGTCATGGAGATGATGGAGGGTCGGGGGTGATTATTTACAGGCGGCGGACTTTGTGACATCTTCACACGATTATCGATGATGGAATAGTTTTTCGATATCGTATCCAATAGCCACCTAAGACGAAAACCCCGTGGTTAAATATTTTTTCAAACTTCAACACTATGTTATATTTAGCCATTTATTTCTTACTTATAACCCTCGATGATTCCCATTGTACTGCTGACCTTGGGATCAGCTGGAAGAGTGGCCGAACATAATTCCACTCTTGTTGGGCACTTCATTGCATTGGCAACATGTTCAACATCTAAATTCTCCACCACATCTAGTTCGTCAATTGCACCGGGTCGATCCTGTTTATTCGCCAGTCTAAAGATAAATTATTATTTCATTCCCGACGAATTGAGAGAGCCGAAAAATCTGGTGCCATTATTTTTTTCTTCTAATTTTTTGCAATTAATTGTGCACATGACAAAAAATTGGACAATTCTGTGATTTAGCACGCGGTGCAGGTGCTCCGGAAAAAAAAAAGATCAATTGAAACCAACATTAAAACATTAAGAAAAATAATCTCACAATAATATTGGTTTTCCCGCGATATGCTCGTTGGTTATTAATTCACCAAATATTATTTTATTTTCAGTTAGTCTGGATATGTCACTAGCATCCACCACATAAATCAGACCATGAATCTAGAAAAAAATTCATTCAAAGGTCCATGAAGACATTAGTAATGAGGGAATGAATTAACCTGAATCCTGAGGATTGAGGAAATGAAATTGATTAGAATGTCACTCACATCGTGGTAATATCTCTTCCAAATAGCTCTGATTTGTGTTGCTCCACCGATGTCATAAACTTTGATGACGTATGACTTATGCCCCAGGGACAAGACTCTGAAGCCCATAGTTGGCATGACATTGGGGTCGAACTCTTGAAAATTAAATGAATTGATTAATTAGCCCTGACTTTTCAAGGCAGATATGATTTTTAGTCACCGTTATTCAGTCGATTTAATACTGTTGTTTTGCCCGCATTGTCCAATCCAGTCATCATCAGTACAATATTACTAATGGGAATAAAAAATTATTAGAAGTTCATTGATTTGTTTAATAAATGGAATTTTACTTTCTGTTACTGCCTCTCTGTGAGAATTTATTCATTAAAAATCTCAGACAGTTTCCCATTTTCACTTTGTCACAGTACATCACTGCTAACTCATGTTTGTAAGCAATACGTCGCCATGTTGTACACAAAAACATTGCGTGCGTAAAAAACAATGTCGAAAAGTGGTTGATATCGACGGTCGGCAATTTATTCCATGAATTTTGAGGTCTTGGGTTCGCTCAGCTGACCACTGAGGGTAGCACACGGTTCGTTAATCATCGATTCAAATTTTTTTTTATTAAAAAAAAATCAAGATTATTTAATGGCCACTGAAAATTTCAATAACTTCTCGAAACTCTTGGTTTAACAATTTTTTTTCCAGCGATTTATGAATTTCACTCATCTGTGCAAAAGAATCCGAAAAAATATTGAAAAATATTTTTTTAAATGGTTCCTTAACTTTCAAACTCTTGAATTAATTTTTTCTTCTATTATTCTTCTATATAATTTCCGGTTAATGATTCCTTTAGGGTACGTCTACATTTTTCCACATGTAATTACTTCCGCAGATATTTTTCCGTAATGATAAAATCAATTAGTACAAGTAGAGGCAAAACGCTTGTTGAGTTTTATTTAGGTTTGAAACTTTAATTTTAGTTCTAGACATTTTAATGCATTCTAGTGTAATCCCAGTGGACTAGGAAGCGAAGAGGGGTTGGGGGGGCTGGGCCCCCGCGGGGGCCAGGATATGCGCAACTTCGGATGTTACAAGGATCTACCGTCGAGGTTGGAAAACCAACTCTCGTTCAATTACATGAGCGTGGCGAGTGCCACACGTTCGGACCAATGGTCTACCCGTTTATAGTCCCCCCCCGAATGGCTCGACTTTCGTTACGATTTACTGCCTTTCTTCCGTTTACTGTGAGGATTTTCGTAGCCCTTTACCCACTGGGTAGGTTGTACAATGGTGGCCAGAGGCATAAGATTCTACGATTATACTGGCATGAAGGTGAATTTCCACCCCAGCATTGTAATACTTTTAGACTCTTGGAAAAGCCGTTCTATGCTGTACTAACAGTCCTCGGTCACTGCAAACTCAATTGAAACGGAATGTACGGGGAGAGGGACGAAGAATACTGATAGATTTCTTTCCATCAACTTTTCAATTTTTTATTTCATAAGTTACCACTTCGTTGGGGTGTCTGCCGATTAATTTGTTGAAATATTCTGTTTTAAATAATCCTGTGAATTTTTTTATTCCACCGAAATTTACACCAACTACTTGACACATGATCACAAGAAGTTCTCAATTATTTCATAAATCAAAGACCAATTTATTGATAACAAATTTCAAGTGCAAATAAAAAAATCTGCAGTTACTAACAAATTCATCAATATCATGGGTCAATTAATTCTGACGCGCCCTATTAAATTCAACTTACAGGATTTACTGGTGGCAATAAATTTGGAACGATTTAATGTTGAATTCAATCTGGCATAAATAAAATGGTTTACCATCGCCAATAAAGCGTAAATAAAGGAGTGGATCGAATGCATATGGGTTAAATAGTGAGGGTTAAATAATTCATATGATTTCACAAAGCTCAATGAATTCTCGTCGGAGAATTGACTCCTCCCCCAAATATGATCGATAAGTGTTCCATCCGTAATTTTGATAAGAAAAGACATAACAGATATCGCCACACGCGCAACGAATTCTCATTTCGAAGAGTTATACACCTAAAATGGATAGTAACAGTGCGCCCCAGCCAAACAAAAGACGCCCCCGTCACTACCCATGATGGACGCCTTCATGAAACGACCCTATGGAGTACCGTACATCACTTTTATGACTACCGTCCTCATTTTCATATTTCATATTTACATTTCTAGTCCACCGTAAATCACACAATTTATGGGTAATTAGACCTTTGTGCGTTTGCCCAACGAGAAGGGTACGCGGCTTATCGAACGTAACGAGAATAAGGGGTGGCTAGAGTTGTGGCTTTCACCCTCTTCCAGCTGCGACCTCTTCCAGTTTTCAGAAGCATAAGGGAAGTCACTGGTAATCCTGACTCCTCGTAACCCTTTAAAGTGCACAGAGAGAATTTTTTTGCCAAGCTTTATACTCTCCACCGAGACCAGGCTCCGATAAAAATTATTAAAAAAATTATTTTAAAAATAAATACTCCGGATATTCTCAATCAATTCGTATTTTTAGTCTTCATCGAATTCTTCCGCTAGGGACAAATAACGACAAATGTAGGACATGAATTAGTTGACATTTATCAGGGCATAACAAGACTATTCCGACTTGTACTCTTTTTCGACAAGTCGTAATCACCCCCCAACGAGAGTATACAAGTCGTTGGAAAGATATTACAGCCTCGTAAAAGGTTGAGGCGTTATGACATTCAACGATGCGTTTTAATGACACACGCAGGTGCCAACAGCCACATCTTACCATTTCGTTATATTCCCAATGGATTATGACGCTGAACGCCTAGGCTGGTTAATGACTGTTCAGGCAACTTGCTGGTATCAATGGGCTATTTCTATCATCATGGGTGGGTTAAAGATGCAGGTGGTGCTGGGAACAGGTCATTTGGGTTATTTCGTTATGACGCTAGACGTTAACTACCTGTCTTCATTAACTTTTATCTTCCATTATTACACTCTCGGGGAAAAGCACAAGTTGAAAAGAACTTTGAAAAAATTCCCGTTATTTTTCTCCACCCAGAATTCTCTCAACTGACGTATACGATAATCATCTCGTGATTGACAACTGTACTGACTTGATTGATAATTAAATATTTAGGTAAACAAGAATTCGGGAAAGGAATTTTTCTCGGTGTGCGATAGCTCGTGGACTGATTGTCCCTGGAGCATGCGGTATCAAATAATCGCCACATAAAAAAAGTACGCGAACTAAAGTGAATAAGACCGTGTGCGTCATGATGTAGTTGCACACCCGACGAATGACCGTAATGTGCGTATATTTACTTTAGTGCCCACCTGTTGCAGTAACCTAGTTTCTTACGCTCACCTACCGTAAACTCTTAAACTTTTTCGAGGATACCTCCCTCACCGCCCCATCCTTCCTGCCACCATCTTCTTTTCCTCATCTCAAACTACCCAAGATTTTTCTGATCCTTATGTCACTCCTCCGTGCAATAAACTTTGTACAATAAATCCGGTTGTAGAGTAAAAAGTGGTGGATGCACACTCTCGTGTTGCATGAACATAACAATGTGGTGAAAATAATGGTGGCGTACCATCGCACGGATTGCACTCCGTAATTTGCATACAATCGACATGTGATGCTATTGCCCCAGGATTTCCTTGAGACAGTCACCATCTTGGATGCCACCAGGCTAATTCATCCCGATTAATATCGCAGAGTCTCGACGAGGAAAAAAATTCATTTTGAAATACAATTCATTCGGCTTGTGGATTCACCGCGTCATTCCGCGATTTTCACCCATCGACGACAGACTCTTCGATCGAACAGAAAAAACGATAGAAAAAAGGGGTGGGATGGAGGGTGGGGGGGAAATAAAAATGTGGTGGACGCGTCATTGCGTGCACGTGCATTGATACTGATATTTATGCTCGCCAGTTAATCATGTCAAAGTCGTTTGATTTGTCGTTGGCTTTTATGGGGGGGAATTAAAACGTTCATTTCGCCGCAGACACTTCGCCAACAGTGACCGTTTTCTATGAGTTATTCTCGCTTTGTTGGACGCTCTATTCTTTTTGGGGCATTAGGGGATGAATCGTTTTGAATTACAGAGATCGATCGATCGATGAGCATTTTTATCAGTGAAAAAAAATTCTCAAGTGTTGGAGGAATTTGGAAATTGTGAAATTCAGACTAATTCAATTATTTTATTAATTACATTTAATTCCATGGCGAAATGACTGCTCATATATAATGAAATGGAAAAATAATAAAAACAGTGAGGAATCATTGAAAATCTGTGAACGCTCAAAGCAATCTCTTCACCGAGAGGATTTGCATCCCTCAACCCCTCGAAGTCCTCAATCTAATGACGCTCTTCTCTCGACGCTGCTCCCCCGGGAGTTGAAGAAATAAAAAGCCAAACAGGACCCAGCGTTTCTCCGAAGAACTTTTGAAAACTTGATTCTGTGCGTCAAAGAAAACTACGGGGCTAATTAATTGACGTCTCAAACCTTTGTCGACGTGATGTCGGGCTGTTGAGCGCCGGTGATGCCCCGAGGGTTTGCGTTTGCGGTTTGGCGTTCTTAGGGAAAGGCTCTTTGTCGTCATCGGTGGTTGTTGGGATTGGATGTACAACTCCAACCCCCTTCATCCCTCTACCATATCTCCACTGATTCGTCTCTTTCCTACTCTCTCTGATATTCCAAGTCGTTAACAAGGCAAATCATCCGCGGGCAAGTAATGTCGCTCTTCTCTTTACGATTTCCTGGCAAATTGGTTGTGTGTGTGGTATAATAATTCCTTTTGTCTATATAGAATTTCACTGCACCAGTTACAGTCCAATCAAATACGTAAACAAGTTTAATCGAATTGAAATTGAACTACCCGCTTTACAAAGCATTTTGAAAGTTGACATTCAATATGATTATGTTGGCTCTAGTGTACCGAACTTGCTTATTTTTTTTGTGGATATATTGGTAGTGGTTTACCGGGGAATGGGATTTCCCTCTGTTTATTCATGTCTGTTTATTTGCCCCTCTTAGAATTTATTTATTTATTTTTTCATTCTCACATGACATCTTCACTGGGAATACATGAAGATGCTGATGGAAGATGTCCATTGGAAGATGTTACCAGCAGTCGTCCAGAAGTACCAGCTGAAATCCCAACGAACACCTTCAAACTCTTGGTCTGGGCTTCTATCACGTTGGGGCAAACGGGCGGACAGCTCTGAGGCGATTTGTCTTTCATTTCGGGTTAATTTATTGCGCCCAGGCAACTCTAGCGCTATTCTCGACTCCGCGCCATTCAGCCACGCCCCACCCAACTAATGTCCCACATAAAACTTGGTATCAGCGATCCTCAAACGGGGATTTACAATCCCTTCAAGCGCCGCCTGTCACTATAAATTCTCTTGGGCGACATCGATATATCTCGAGCCGC